TCTGGCTAGAACTTCCAGTGTTATGTTGAAGAGCAGTGGTGATAGTGGACACCCTTGTCTTGTTCCTGATCTCAAAAGAAAGGCTTTCAGCTTTTCTCCGTTGAGGATAATATTGGCTCTGGGCTTACCATATATGTCTTTTATCATGTTGAGGTATGTTCCTTCTAATCCGAGATTTAGAAGAAGTGAATCTGACAAGGTTTCAGAGTACAAGGTGAACAACCAAGTCTATCACTTTTATAGACTAGCAGTGGACAATTAGAAGCCAAAACTACGGAAAAAATATTTTTCACTAGCTTGCCATTAAATACTTCAGTATAAACCGAACACAATCCTTGTGTGCTTGTATGCTAAAAACAACATTCTGATAAGTGAAATCAAGGAGATCTGAATATGTGGAGAGCTACTCTTTGTGGATTAGAAGACTTGATATAGCCAATCCACAAATTAACTTGTAAATTTAATACAATTCAAGGATTTCTTTGGGTAGACTTGTATATGCTAACCCTGAAATTGGAAATGCAAAGGAACTAGTATAATTAGTATAATATAATTAATTAGTGTATTAAGACAATTTTGTTAAGAAGTGTAATAACATGGAAGATAACCACCGAGTTCTAGAACTTGGAATAGTACAAATTTTGAAGCACACTTGTACTCAAGACAGTGATTATGGTAAAGGCAGACACACAGCAATGAAATGGTATAGGAAATCCAATAATAGATTCACACAAATAGGTTCAGTTGACTTTTCACAAAGATGCCAAGGCCACTCGATAGAGGGAAAGTAGACTTTTCAATATATAGTATTAGAACAACTGGAATTTCAGTCATGTACACAAAAGTAAATTCTAAGCCTCAGATCGTACACAAAAATAGATTTTAATATAAAATGTAAAACAAAACTTCTAGAAACAAACTGCAGAAAATCTTTGTGATCTTGGATTAGTTTATGTACATAGATATAACGCCAAAAGCATACTCTATAAAAGAAAGTGTTGACAAATTATATGTCAAAATTTAAAACTTGCTCTATGAAAACCATAGTTAAAAGAATGAAAAGACACTTCTTTTTGCCTCACGTACTATGAGAATGAAGACCATTCTTAGCAATTATACTGTTGAAATTCCAGAAAATTTCAGAAGCCAAAATAGGAAAAAACTCTTTTCATACTCCAGAAAATGTCCCTGAAGGACTGCACTGTTACTGTGAAGGGCCCTAGACGTACCCTGCGAAGGGACTTCAGTCACATCAGTGTCAGTCTCCTTGAAAAGACAGAAGAGGCCCCAGGTTGACAAATGGTGGGGAAATAGAAAGGAATTGGCTGCTGTTCGCACTGTGTACAGTCATGAACAGGGTCAAGGGTGTTCCACTGGGCTTCCCCTACAAAATGAGGTCTGTGTACCTTCAACTCCCCCATCATCATTGTTATTCAGAGAATGGGTTTCATTGAAATTTCCTGGGTGAAAAATTCAACCTAGAGTTCAGGTGATGATAAGTGTGCCTTGTTCATTAGCACAAGCCCAGAAAGATAAGTTAATTCTCAAAGGAAACAGCACTGAACTTGTGTCAAATTCAGCTATTTATGTTCAGCAAACCACAATAGTTAAAAGCAAGAAAAGCAGGAAATTTGAAAGTCGTATCAATGTTGTCTGTAAAAAGCAGTTCCATAGACTGATGAATAAGATATAAGTTGTTCAGCTATAGAAACAGTAAGATTCTGGGTGATTCCTCAGACTGAGTTGTGATGTCCTTAATTTGGGGTTAAGGAAAATGAAAAGACAAGCCAAAGATTAGGAGTAAATATTTGAAAATCACATATCCATCATGAAGAGAGGTGTCAGGATCATTAACTATTAAGGAAATGCAAATTAAGCCAAAGTAAGATATCACTGTATACCTATTAGAATGACTAAAAAATTTTAAGATTTATTTATGCATACAAGAGCTGGGGTGTAGGAAGAGGTACAGGAGATTGAGGAGGGGTTGAGGAGTTAGAAGATTCACCAGAGACAACAGTGGGGAGCAGAATAGGTGGACTGATTGAAATACACTGCTGAGGGTGGCAACAGAAGTCTGCTGCGCCACTGTATGGGTCAGCTCCCTGGCCAGGAATTTAACTCATGCGTTGATTGCTTCATAGTGCTGAGACTTAACCCCTTGCACCATCAGGGAGACCCTAGAATGACTAATTTTTTTTTTTTTTATAAAAGAGAAAAGCTGACAGTGCAAGTTCTGGGGAAGATGCAGAACATATATAACTCATACATTGCTGGTTAGAATGTAAAATGATAAAACTACTCTGGGAAAAAACTAGCAGTTTATTACCAGCTTACACTTTTACCATATAATCCAGTAGACACACGCCTGGGCATTTACTCAAAAGAAATAGAGATATATGTTCACCCAAAACCTGTGTGTGAATGCTTACAGTGGTGTTCTTCATTGGCAGGTGACCAATATTGTCCAGAAGCTAGATGAAGGTTGTCAGTAGGCATTGTGGGAAATGGGAATCTATTTCCAAGACCACCTGCCCCAGTCTTAACTGTTTGTTACTAGTTGATTAATTTGATGGTGAGCTGTGAAATGAAACTCAGAAGCTTCATCCCACAGGGAGAGCTAAAGGAATCTTGCTTTGAGCAAATTCAGTTCCCCAAATGTTCTTCCTATGGGTGAAGATCACCAGTTATGCTAGGGATGAATGAAATAAAAGGAATATGGGCTTTTTCTGTTTAATGATGTTTGGACCTTTGTACCAAAAACAAGGCCATCCTTTCTATCGACCAGGTCTTCAGGAATTTATAATCAATCTGTCAATTTCCATTCCCCCCTTGTAATTCATAGTTGTTGGAAAATGCTAGTTGCAAAACAAATTGATGCCGTTCCTGTACAGATCTTACTAATATTTACATGAACAAAACTTTGGCATGGTTTCTGTTTCAGATCACAAAAATGGACAGCACTTTATAATACCTCAAATGGCAGATAGGTAAGGACATTTAAATACCTATCGACTTTATCTGTTACTGATATTTCCTTGGTTGTGTAGTGTTTAAGTGTGCTGTATCTTGTGTTTAACAAAGCCCATACATTTTTCTCTTTTATGGCTATACGATCTGGAAATAAGACGGCTGTAAGTAAACTATCATATAAAACTTAAGTTTGAAAGAGCACAATTGTATACCAAATTTACTAATAAGAAAATTGGAGTAAGTGACAGTATCACAGTTTCAGCCAGTTGTGATAGTACATTTATGGCTGTGGGTTATTGTCCGATATTTCTGTATTAAGTATGTTCTGTAACAGTGATTGGCACTTTTTTTTTGTCACTAAGAGCTAGATAGTAAATATTTTAGTCTTTGTGTACCGTAAAATCTCTGTTACAACTACTCTGTCATTTGTAAATGAAAGCATGTATGGACACTGTATATAGGGAATTTGTGTCTGTACTAACAAAATTTTGTTTCTGGACACTGAAGTTGAATTTCAAGCAATTTTCACACTATGAAATATTCTGCTTTTGTTCCCCCTCTTCCTCCTCCTCAACCCTTTAAAGAGATGAAAGCCATTCATATCCTAACTCAAGGGGGCTGTTGACTCCTAGTGTATGAGGTCAGATGAATTCATGGCTGAGGAATATATTTAAACCCTTACTTAGCCAATGATCTTTACACAGACATTGTTAAGAGTTTATAAAATAATTAAGTGCTGTTTTAGCTGTGAGATTGCCATTCTGATTTTCAGTCTTCCCTTTTGGATTTTCTTCTATCATTCTTTTTATAATTCAAAAATAGTGACTTCTCACATAAGGACCTGGTGACTAATCTGTCAATAGCTTCTTTTAGTTGGCTCATGATTATTTTCTCCCTTTACAATATTACAAGATTATGGTATTTCTAGGAGTTACTTTTCTCAGGCTGTTCTGTTCTAGTGGTTCACTGACTTGGGCTATAGCGTTTTAATCCTGGCCATGTCCATGGACTGTAATTAATATCTTGATCCCTTGCCTGTATTATCTCACAAAAATGGTTTCATTCGCTTATTGATTTTGTACATTTTCTTAGCAGCCTGGATTTGTCTGAATTGGCAAAAGCTGCTAAGAAGAAACTTCAGTCTGTGAGTATCTCTGTATCCTAGCGCACCCCTGTATAGGAATCCATGTATCTCACTGCACATTACCTATTGCATCAGATGACTTTATTTCACATTCTTAGATGTTGTTAAATTGTGTATGTAGCAATGAAGGCTGAAATTACTGTTAAGTTTAGTATGTCCAATTTCGTGTTTCAAATAATGCCATTTTCCTCTGTCACATTAGGCCTTTGTTTCTTCCCTAGTGTTTTACAAAGTAAATGAGTAAGACACTGTTCTTAGAGGCTATTCCCTGTAGCCTCTAAGATGCTAGAGAATGATCAAAGCTAATGCTGGATTGGTAAGTACGGCAGATTCCCTCTGCTACTGGGTTGTAGCTCCCCTGCCTGCCCTGTGCTATTCATTAGACTTTCTAAGTGTATGCTTCCAAGAGCTGATGGTCTTGCCCTCTGTATGCTCTCAGAGTTTGTCCAGTTCTCCAGGTCATACCCTCCTTTAATCTGTGCATTTCTGTCCATCCTACCCACCTCCGCCTTAGCCAGGACCCTGAGAAATCTATTTCTCTGGGAATGATTTTTCTTTGTTTAGTCCCTTCAAATGAGACCTTATCAGGGTTCTTCCCTAGCTACTTTAACTACCAGATTATGCTTCTTAAGTGTCTTCATTACTCTCTGGATCAGAACCAAGATTCTTCCTTTAAGGGCAACGTCCAGCTCTCACTTTTTAGTTCTTGCCCTGTTTCTGATCCTCTGACACCATGAGCTGCCACCCCCAGTCCTTTCAGGAATCCTCTTCTGCCTGCAGTGCGCCTCTCTCCCAGTGTCCACCCTAGCTGCCACACAAGAAACTAAGCACCTGCACGATAGGTAGTTTCCCCAAGGCCTAACTAAATTGCAACTCCCTGATTTAAGACTTTCTCTTCATCATTCGCCTTTTCATGGAAAATCCTTTTCTGGAACTTCACTCAAGTACTAAATACTACATAACAAATAAACTTATCTTTATTAGCATTTAACTGTTATGTGAAATAAATTATTTTATAAATTTGTTTGGTGTCTGTTGTATATATCTGTGGCTTTGTGTGTCTGTTTTATTGCCTTTTTTAATTAAGGAAGTCAATTAGCATTGAAGTCAGCACTAAATATCATATGATTTCCTGTTAATTATTTACAGTGCACTAGACAATTTTTATTTTAAATTCAAATATTACAAATGAAACAAACCCTAGTTCCCTTTGACTTTCCTATACTTGCTAGGCTTGAAAACTACAGGAAGGTGGGGTTTGGTCTGTAATAATTCTACCTTGTGGTAGGCACTAGTCTGTTATCTGGGATAAAGCTGAGTATAGTCCCAAGAAATTGGGCTGGGTCAAATGGTCATATATTGATCTTGGCACTGACATACTCCTTAGTCTCTCTGCACCTTGGTTTTCTTTCTAGAAAAGGGGAAATAATTGTCCCACAGGGATTACAAATCAGAACTGCTCAGTGAGGGTGAGCTGCCTTGCTGTTTGTTGACTCCAACCTGTCATCTGCTCACAGGTGACAACTGTTCTTAGTGCTATAGCTACTGTGTCTCATCCAGTATCTTCCTCCACCCCTCCCTCCCTAATGAAAAGCTGGGGAAATGTAACAAAAACTAGTGTATTCTTTGAGTTAGTAGACTTTAACATTTGGGGAGACAAACTGGGATTAAAGGTCCATCACCAAGGGCTTTGTGACTTTAAGCAGCATGTTAACTCTGTGTCTCAGTTTCCTTATTTGTATAATAATTCTAGCATGTGGTAGGCACTAGTTAGTTATCTGGGATAAAGTTGAGTACAGTCCCAAGAAATTGGGCTCTGGTTCAATTGGCCACATACTGATCTTGGTGCTGAAATTCTCCTTAGGATAGTAGTTTGCATCTTCGTAGAGACATGAGTACTTAAATGAGGCATATAAGTCCTCATTCAGTGCTGCTGTTGTTGTTAGTAATAATACCGTTAGCTTGGAGCCTCTTGAAGGAAAGAGCCTGTATGTTTATGAAGCAAGGTCAAGTTCTCAATCCTTCATCACCTTATCTACAAAAAGGCCCTCAGAGGTTGTGTTTTCTAGTTACAAATGTGATGTAGACACATTAAATAACATTTGGAGAATAGAAAAGGGGCATCATCCTCAGTCACTATTGAGGATCACTATTGAATCACCTTAATGGACTTTAGTTCAATATTTTGGTATATTCTTTTCTAATTCTTATTTCATATGTATATCTCTTTTTCAGTTGAGGTGAGTCATAATGATAGAATTCTGTATCCTGCTTTTTTCACCCGACAGTTGTATCCATTTTAACAAGTTCCTTTGAGGCCTCTATAGCCAGCATTTTAGTATAGCCAGCATTTTAATTTTAAACTGCTGCATAAAATACCTTCTGGCCACTATGCAAGTGGATATTTACTGAGCCCTCTGTATATGCCAACTACTTTTATGGATATAAGGAACACAATAGGGAACAGAACAAATTCCTTGTCCTCACAGAGGTAGGGGAAGCAATCAATTAAAAAGCAGCCACAAGCTTTAGGGGTTACTGTGTGAAGAAAAAGTACAGAGAGAGCCAGAGCCAGGCTCAGGAAGTCCTGATAGTCCTACCCACCTTGATTGCTGCCAGGCTTCCCCTAGTGTGTGTCGGGCTGGTTTTAATTGATTGACACTGTGCAGCATACTGATTGGACAGGCTGATCTGGTGGCAATGCTCAGTTGTTATAAGGACTGGAAGATTGTTAGTGTGGAAGATAGCTTTGCTGTGTTCCAAAGACACTTAACCCAACCTAGGTGGCATGTTTTAGTTTCTTTTTCCTACCTCTGTCTTAGGCTCCTTTATTTGGGGTACTGGCAAGTGCTTTTCAGAGGTGGTATCAGGAAAAGTCAAGAACTTGACCTTACTTCTGCAGCCATGCTCTTTAGGTCCCTCTTACCACCTTTAGAGCGAAATCTGTTCTGAATATCAGAAAACAGGCAGGCTGTTGTGGTCGGGGGTGAGGATGTGGGACAAATGCTCAAGAGAATCTATACTGTTTTATTAATGTTATTGACTAAAAGTGGAGATTCACAATGCTCTGACTTTGGCTAAAATTGGAGATAAGAGATAAGTCATAGTCTTAGCTTGTGTTCCTAGTGTTAATTCTTGTCCCTTGTGTTCCTGCTATTTTTTTACTTTCAGCTAAGTAATCATTTGTTTGAAGAACTTGCCATGGATGTGTACGATGAAGTTGACAGGCGAGAGACTGATGCAGGTGACTTTAACATGTGGCCATTTATCAAATAAGCTTCTGTTATCAGTGGGCGGTGTCTAGCTGCCAGCCTCAAAGTTCTACCCAATTGCTGCTGTCCCGATAACATGTGTGTGTCTACATTTACTTATGTGTATGTTGCTTGGAAATGTGCCCTTTTCCCCCAAGTTTCCCTAGTTAACATGGGCAGTGGCACATGATGAGATTTCTATCTGGCTCTTTCTCTGGCTAGTCTGGCTCGCCACACAAAACCACAGCACCCTGGTAACCGAGACAACTGTTGTCCCCTTCCTTCCGGTTAATCCTGAGTACTCATCCACACGGAACCAGGCAAGTAGCTACTCTAAAAGGTGGTACTATATTTTGGAAATGGTTGATGGTATATCTTGTTTTCTCAGAACAGGGGTGTAAAATGTTTAGATTGATGAAAATGTTAATTTCCTTTATATACACACCCCACCCCTTCAATAAATTGATAACAAGAGATACGTGTAAATAAATGACTGCAAATAAGTGTAAAACAATTCATAGAAGTAATATAAATGGCTTAGATATGTGAAGAAATGTTTAGCCCATTAGTAATCCCTAAAACCACCCTGAAGTCTTTAGTCAAAGTGTCATTAGTTAAATTAGTAAAGTATTATAAAAGATATTCCAGTCTCTTAAGGATGTTGTAAGGTGGGCTTTCTCATGCTACAAATAAAGAGTTTAAAATTGGTGCAGACTGCAAGGTCTGGTAGCACTGCAAGGATAGTGTTAATATTTGACTTGATTGATTGTAATGATGCTTTGATCATGCTGGAATGCCTTTGCCTAAGTCTAGCAAGTCTGGCTAGTTTTATGTGAATATTGCTGTATTTTTACATTTGGGAATATCTCTAATTTTCTCTGTCCCTCAGGGCAGACAGAAATTAGCTCGATTTAATGCCCATGAATTTGCCACCCTGGTTATTGATATACTCAGTGATGCCAAAAGGAGACAACAAGGCAGTCCTCTCTCTAGTTCAAAAGGTAACTGTTTCAAACCTCTAAATATTTGCTTCCTTGGCTTTCTACACTTGACACAAGTGTTAAAATTATAAATTAATTTAAATAATAGCATATTAGTGTAAGTTTTGTTTGTAATATGTTTTGATGAAAAGCTACCTTTTATGCCTGGTAATTTATGAATATTTCAGCATTGCTATCTTACAAACAGTTCTTTTCCTCTTAGATCACCTATCTTGCTTACGAAATTGCATCCCAAAATTAACCCCAAAGACTTAGATCTTGTTAAAAGACAGAAGAAAATACTCCTTAAAGATTGCAATTATAGTTTACCTGCTTTTTCCCTTCAAAATGGGTTTGTTACTGTAAACTTAAAATGTCTACAGTAAGAATTGCTTGTACTTAAAATCACAAAGAGCACTGAACACCTATTCCTGAAGTTCCCTGTGAATCTTTAGTTCAGCGACTTAGGGGCCTGTCTCTATATTTAGGAATATTCTTCCTCCCCAACCCACATAGTATAACTGCAATTTCTCTTAATTAAATAAGTAATGTAATTGTATTGTAAGACCTTTGAACAGAAGAAATATGTACCATAAAAGTTGGGTTTTTAGTTAGCATCGAATTCCCCAAAGACAATAATCACTAACTGGCAGCAATTTGTTCTTGATTTTATTGGTTCCAGCAGGAATAAACATGTTCTAAAAAAGTTTATTAGTTTGAAGTGAAGGTATGTTACTGTGGTCCTTTCTTAAATTTGAAGTCTCAAAATATACATGCTCTGGTTTGGTGGTTCCACTTCTAAGTGTTTATTGAAGGAAAATAACTATAGATTTATAGGTAATATAACATTAAAACAATTAGAAACAACAAAATATAAAGCAATGATTAGACACATATTTGAATAATATAGACTTTTTTCCTTAAAATTGATGAATTGACAAAGTAATTAAGCTTTAGTATGGTCCAGTTTGATAAAACAATTTATCTACATGCAGATAAACGAACATATCACCTGTAAATATAAATAGTATTCATAGGTCCCATATTTGCAGATTTGCCTATTCCCACTTTTGTGGTAATTTGTGGATATGTACAGAACTGCAAAACATTTGAGTCACCTCACACAAGTTCCCTGCTGACACTATAAACAAGGCCACACTGCTTTGTTACAGGTCTCATTCCGTAAGCAGGTGTCCTTTCCCAGGTCTGTTTAGTGTCACATTTTCCACATAGTTTTGTGCTTTTTGTGGTGATCTTGCTATTTAAAATTACCCTAAGCATAGTGCTGAAGTGCTGTCTAGGATTCCTGAGCACAAGAACGTTGAGATGTGTGCTACATAATATGCAGTCAGTCATGAGTTACAGTGCTCAACAGTGTTTATGAGCGGCAGAGTCAACAATAGGTAGTAAAGAAAGTATCTTTAAACAAATACATAAAACAAATTTATGTATTAACCAGTTGATGAAAATATGATCAGTCTCACAAAAGCCTAACCCTGTATTTTCACTAAGAACAGCAACCTTTTAGAAGTTAACCACAACAACTAATGAGAATTGACTTTATGTTTTATGCTTAGGAGGAAAAAATAATGAAAGAAACAGACCAAAATATATTATTGGATATGAATGATAATTCTGTTTACTTCATTTATTATTTTCAAATTTTTTATAGAGCATCTTTATTACTTCCATAATCAGATGGCATATATATATATTTGAAATATCAATTTTAAAAAAATGTAAATCTCATAAGTAAACATAACTTACCACCTTGATATGGCATCAAAATATCCAGAAACAGTATTGGAATTCAGGTTAGCTTGAGTTGCTTGAAAGAAATTAGAGAGACTTAGCCAATTTTTTAATTTTTTATTCAGAATGTGTTTGCTCCCCACAAGCCATTTCTCCTAGATGTGTGTCTCCTGTCATTTTCTTCTCTGTCACTGACATTTAGCTGACTCAAATGCCAATGTGCCTACTTTTTGAGCATCTGGTTTTAGGCTCTTTAATACGAGTGTGACATGTTTACAAGGAGATGTTAAATCATTATTACCTTGTAAATAGGTTGCAGTACAGTTGAATTACATTTAGTCATAGCTTTATTTTCCTGATTTGGAGCCACCCTCTAGCTCCTTGAATCATTAAAAACTTGGAAACCTGCCTCTGTAGTATGAGCAGCTCTTTCTGAAACCAGCTTCCTAATTTGCCTGTGTTGGGTAAATAGCTCAGAGGGGTGCTTTTATTTCTGCAACTTACAGTAGGCTACCTGGATGGTTGATCAGTTACTCTGTTATCCCGACATTGGGTTTTTTTTTTCTGACTTTTCAGTCTTTCAAATGTCTAGGCCCCAAAAAACCTACCAATTTTTTGGGAGAAAAATTGTTAGCCTGAAGTAATGTGTTTGCTTTTGTTGATAGACAATGTGGAGCTCATACTGAAAGCAGTGAATAACCAGCACAGTGGCGAGAGTCAAGACAACGATCAGCCGGACTATGACAGTGTGGCCTCAGATGAAGACACAGATTTAGAAACTGTTGCCCCCAAGGCAAACAGGCAGAAGGTGAGGTGACACATTGCACACAAAAGGCGAATGTTTCTAAAATTTTTCCTCCTGAAAAATTGCCTGATTTGTAATTTATTTAAGGACTGTTCCTGGGTAAGTGCTGGGAGATAAGCTGACTTCACTACTACTAGCTTGGGCCAAGTGAAAATGAAACAAGGTAAATAGTTTCTAAATTGAAGGGTCCTTTGAGTCCCTGAGTCAATTGCTAAATCACAGCCCTACTGTAGTGATGACTTTATAAAACTTGTGAGGAGAAACTGATGTTTTCTATTCACTCAATGAATGTTTACTGTGTGCCATTTCTCTGGATAATACTCTCCTGAACGAGGCCTAGCTTCTTTCCTGTGAGACTTTCCACCAACCAGGAGGTACAAAATGGTAGTGTTACAGGAAGCGCAGACAGAAGTTGGGGTACAAGGGGTGAGAAAAGGTGAGACTTAGTGCTTTGAGGAAGCATATGAGGGGAGGCTTTGTAAATGGGATCATTCTGCAGGTGTGCCATAAGCGGTACACGTGCAGATGCAGGGAAGGATGGTCTGGATTGAAAGTGAACCAGGCATTTAGGGGAAAACCTGTCATGTGTAGGGACAAGCTAAAAAGATTTGGACTCAAAGCTGCAGCAGAGGGTTGGAGGTCATAGCACAGAGGACAGCAAAACTGAGAAGCCTGGCCCTTGGTGCACAATCGAGAGCCAGGAAGCTTTAGCAGGACAGGGAGGTGATGCTCACAGCCATATTCGGTCCTCTTTTTTGTTAGGAAGGACTGTTCTGCTGAAGGAAGAAAGCCCTGTTAGGGAACTCTTAAAGAAGTTCAAGCAGGTGCTGATGTAGACTGCCTCCGGCCCTGAACTGGGAGGGCCCAGATAGAGAGAAATTTCTGTAGCAGAGTGTTGGCCTGAGGACATGGCAGCAGGGATCTGGCTGGTCTACCCACTGCTGAATCCCCAGGACCTTTCCTGGGACCTGGCCACAATGGGGACAAGCAGACCCTGGAGAGTGGATAAACCGGAAGCAAGAGTAGATAGGTCTTGGCAATGAGTTAAATGTTTAAAATGGGGAGCTAGACTTTTAAAGAAGGTATGTATGGAGATTTCCAGTTCACACAGTTGTGACATGGTGGTGCCATTGAATGATGGAGGGGATGGCAAGAATGTCACTCATTCTGTCTGAAGTGCGCTACCCAAGTCCCCAGAAGCACTAGGTTAACTCGGTGAAAATCAAAGTCATGACCAGACCCTACATGACAGGGTCCTTAGTAGACTGATAATCCCACTGCCCCTGCCCTGTACTCCCTTGCCCTCTAGCTGAGCTCTGCTGCTGTCTGGAATGTTCTCTTTCCAGACAGCCATTCAACTAATATCTTTACCTCTTTTGGACTGTTGCTTAAGTCTCACCTACCAAAGACTTACCCCACTTGCCTCATTAAAATGTACCCATCTTCTCACCTCCTTCAGCTCCCAGGCCCTCACCCTGCTCCATTTTACCCATTTTACATAGCACATACCACTTTTGTTAAATTGTTGTGTTACTTATTTTTGTTTCCTCTCTCACTCTGCTGGGATGTCAACACCATGGAAGCAGGAATCTTTGTTACCTTGTCTGATCTATCCGAAGCCCCTAGAATTCTAGAACATAAAAATCTGTTGGAATGAATGCATTCATGAAAGAATAAATTAAAAATAATTCAATAATCAAAGGAAAGCCAGATAAGACAAATACATTTAGTCAATTTCAAAGTGCATTTTGAGCCCCACTATCTAATCTCTTAGAAAATACTGCCTTTAAATTTTTTCAAATACTGTAGTAACCCTACCTTTATGTTTTAGTTTTGTATTACTCTCAGAAGCCTTTATTCGGTTTGATTAACTTTGCAATCCAGCTGGCATGATCAGAATTTGAAATTCGTTAGCTGTCAGTCTTGAATGTTAATCATCATCTCAGATTGTGAACATTTTCCCCAATTTATTTTTAGAGCCTAGATTCAGATTTATCAGATGGACCAGTCACTGTACAGGAATTTATGGAGGTCAAAAACGCTCTAGTGGCTTCTGAGGCCAAGATACAACAGCTAATGAAGGTGAATAACAACTTGAGTGACGAGCTGAGAATTATGCAGAAAAAGGTAACATGTTAATCAATGCCAGGATAATTGATTCTTTAACCCCATAGTATAAGGAAGAATCCCAGGCACAATGCTTGTGGTCAGAATGAAAAAACAAAACAAAACAAAAACAAAAACAAAAACAAAACCAGTTGTATTTGTGATAGCCTTCTAAAAATCTTTGGGCCGAACTGTCTTTTTGGAAGTAGTATGTCTTTGGATATTTTAAATGAATTAGCTTTGATTAGTATTAAATCCAGAGGAAGTTTCCCAAGTAGGAGAAATATAACAACCTATCAAGTGTCTGTTTCAGTTAGTACTTGAATTTTTCTGAGCTTCCTGAGAACCTCGATGCCTCTCCATGGGCGAGATTCTTCTTTGCTGGTTCTAAAGAGTAATCTCACCGTGAAGACAGAACAGACAAAGCCTTGGCCGGGTGGATGTGTTTGGCAGCCCCGTCCTCCTCCAACCCTGAAGCCATGACTCTTCTGAATTGTTACCCATCCCCACCACTGTCCTGGCCACCCTGTCCACACCCCTGCTTTCTTTTCACCGGTACTTACCACTAATTTGTGATATCCTCAGAGCCTAGATTGGGTCTGCCAGAGGAGGTTCTCAATAAACCTAAGAAAGCATTTCACATGCAGTGGCAAGAACTGTGCACTAATAAGAAAATATCCTTTTTGCTTAACCTGTGCTCATTTACTGGCTTCTGAGTCAGAAATACATGAATACATTAATTCCTAAAAAAAAGTATGGTAATAGTAATAGTAAAGAATATGCTTAATAGGATGTTCTGTAACTTCCTGTTCCTATATGTGTATAACGCTTTATGGAAATGCTAAAAAGAAGTTGAAAAATTCTCAGTTCTGCCCAGGACTTTACAAACATGAGATTTTGTATACTTCCCTTAAATAGAAACAAAACAAGATAGTAGCTATGTCTTCATACACTGTAGTGGTTTAGAATCATTACCGAGAACAGGACATGTTTGGTCTGTGGTCCCTTCTCAATGATACTTCCTAGGGGAAGGCAGGATAACTAAAAAGAAGCTGTCAGGGCAGTAGTTACTACAGTGCACCTCGCCTGTGGTTTGGCCTAGGATTCTTTTGGTCTTGAGTTCTCGATCATTTTTGAAATCTTTTGAGATAGATGACTATAATACCTATAATTGAGGGTGACAAGAATGCCAGATTGCCAAAATCAGATTTTGATCAAATACTTGTTCTGTAACATCCTATTCCTGTCTGGGACCAGTGTGCAGCCATGAGGAAGGCATACTAAGATCCGTTTTGCTCACCATACAGGGTTTACACTTTCTCTTTTCTGAAATGTCTTTTATTTAAAAAGAATTATAGTTTGTCCCCTTAATTGAACGAATATTTTTGTTGAGGTGACTTTTTCTGACACATGCTGACTTTGCCATTATAATCAGTCTACTGAGCAACACCTTTTTTATTCTGTAATGCTCATTTAGTATTTCTAGAAGTTTTGTATTTCCAGAGATAACCATGTATCTCTGAAAACAAGTGTCTCAAGCATCTTTAAAAGTATAGACTGAAATTATTTGCCATTGTCTCAAAAATAAACATCCTTAGAAATGCTTTTGATTGTTTATTAACTACTGTTAAATTATAATTTTTCATTTCCTGTTAAGGCTCCTGGACAAAAAAAACTGGTATTATAAGCATCATTCAAATTTATCTAAGAACATCTCTAATTACAGCACATTAGAATTTTTAAAAATTGAGACCAAGAAATTGTGCTGATCAAAATGCTTTCAAGCAAAATCCAGGCATGTTTTAGAGGCATAGAAAGTATTTTAGATAAAGATTGCAAGGCCTTGTTTGAAGAACCTTTTAAAAAAAGATTTTTACATAGAAAGGCATATGTATGACCAGGTGTACCAGCCTTTCCTTGAGAGGTGTGTGTCAGTTGCTTGCCCTTTGGACCTGACCTTTTCATTTCAAGATAAGGGTTCCCTAATAAACAGTTTTGACAGTCACCCTATGCCTGTGTGTATCCTGGAATGAATGTAGGACTTTTCAGTGACTGCTTGACTGCTTGTCACTGGACAGCTCTTCTTTTTTTTTTTTTTTTTTTTGATATGAGCATTGTACGTAAAAGAAAACTGGTGTGTCATTTTCACTCTTGGAGAAAACTGAGAAAGGGTATTTCTTGAAAGAGGCAGTAAATCACAGCATCACAGAAGTTTGGCACTTTTAATGTAAAGTATGTAGAACTTGTTTATTTTAGCAAAGATGTATTGATTTTATTTCAAAGTCAGGTTAAGTTTATATATATGTGTGTGTGTGTATATATATATATGTAGTTGACAAAGTAGCATGATTTGTATCTGATCTTTCACATTTAACAGTTGCTTGGAAAGGATGCTAATTAATGAAGAGGAGCAGCTACTATTGGTGTATTTTTCACACATCGGTGCTTTCTAAATAGAAATTGAAAGTAACTGCTAACACTGAATGTGTTTGCTATTGAAAGAGTAATGATCTTCTGGTTGCTTGCGGACTAAAGGCTTGGCCCTGGTGGGGAATTGGTCAGATTTTCAATATCTGTCAAAGAGTAGACAGCTGAACTCATACCACACCCAGCTTATAAAATATCATGGAAGATGAAGGAGCACCAGAGGGGAAAGACACTGCAGACTGGACTCAGTTAATTGTGTTTAAAATGCCAGCCGCTAAAGAGTAACCCGATTCCTTGCTGATCCCTTAACTAATTCATCCAACACCATGAAGCAGCCTGCATGTGAGGAGTGGAAAGAGCATTCAGGGTCTCCGGGTGACAGCCTCTAATTATAATGGGGTGGTGCCAGTCAGATTAGCGTGTTTAAAGCTGACACCACCGTTGTCACATTTTGGGTGACAAAACCAAAGGAGAGAAAGGCCAGAAATTCCAGTCCTGGCTGAAAGCTGACTGATCGCCAGAGGGAAGCAAGCGTGCTACGTTGAGCATTCAGATGAAGATGTTGACATAGTTCATAGGTCTCCGGGTGTCTTCATGTCTTATTAATATAGCCAACTTACATTGTTCAGTTCCCTCTTTTTTTAAAAGTGCTAAATTGTTTGGAATGTCAAGACTATTATATAATAAAAACGTGTTGATAATTTTTTTTTGTTGGCTTTTTGGGGAACAGTAGCTGATCTGATTTTTCATAAGCTGAATTTCACTCTCTTTCTTGCTTTGCAAAGCAACTCTAGTTATCTTTGTGCTGCTTCCATGGTGTCTGCTGGCATTTTTGGCATTTGCAAATAAATTGCTCAGCGCTTGTTCATAAAGCAAATTACCTAAGTATTTTTTAATGTTCACAAGCTCTTGCTTGGAAAAACCTTAAAATAATCCTTAAGAGGACAGCTTGCCTGTCAACATTTCTCATGACCAATTCTTAAGTAATTATACATTTTGTTTTTTAAAAGTCCAAGCTGCAGTTTTTCCATAAGTTAAACTATCTAGTTTGCTTAAACGATGAAGTCAGTTGATTGTGTTTCACTCATTCTAGAAGAAACTTTGTATTTGGAGTTGCCTTTTACTTACAACCCAGTTAGTTGGTGTTCTTACTGTTTAAAGCTGGTAGTTTTATGTGTTTACTTTTTCTGCTTGCTGTGGAAAAACACAGTCCCACTGCCAAACATTTCTTTCAGCTTCAAACACTCCAGAGTGAAAATTCGAACCTCAGGAAACAGTCCACAACCAATATATATCAGGTGCAAACTGGTTCTGAGTACACAGATACTTCCAACCACTCTTCCTTAAAGCGACGTCCATCTGCCCGGGGCAGTAGGCCCATGTCTATGTACGAGACGGGATCAGGTCAGAAACCCTATCTCCCACTGGGAGAAGTGGACCACCCTGAAGAGAGCAGGACAAGACTCCAGCCTTTCCCTGCACACGTAAGTAACACCACTGGCACTTCCACTGTTCACTGTCTGCCCAACCTGACTGCTGCAATTCTTCTGAACCTGTCCGCCTCCTACCCCACTTCTCTGACTTTCCAAATCTGGCTGAGACTTGTCCTTATATTTGCTGTATGAACCTGTTGACAGAGGCTTGCAGCATTCCAGAAACAGGGCTATTTCCAAAGTGTTCCAACAAAGTTTGCAGTTCTGGCCCTTGCCCCCTTTTCTTCACTGTATCCATAGTATCTTTCCCAGTTAGCCAGTATTGGAGCTTTTCTGGTAACAAATCTCCTTGGGGGAAAAAAAGAAAGGTATTGAAGTTCACTGGTCTGTGTTGTCTTCTTTGAGGGAGAGCTGAGTTGCTCCTTCCAGTTGAACAGGTGGTCTCTGTGGCTGGGCTTGCAGGTTTAGAAGCCTCTAGGCTTCCACAGCCTTTCCATGTGGTCGGCATGTCTGCTTAGCTTCTGCATCCCCCTCCTCTCTGGGGAAAGTGTAATTTACTATTTTATGAGATTAAGATGGGTGTAAAAACTCTACATTGATTTTAAAAGTGTTATATTCTAAAGATTGTATGCTGTACAGGAATGCTAATAGTCTTACAGTAAGATAAGTATTATGTTGGGAAATTTTCAAATATATTTCTTTTGAATTAATGTTGACATCTGTGTTTTGACAGAACGTTACAGACACCTTGAATTTACATGATGTTTTTTCAGGATAATATTTATCTTTGAATGTCATTATTGTTGTTATTAAATTTTACAGGTATTTCCAAAAAATTCTGAATAAATACAGAGTAAAAGCTATGATCTAATAAATTAAACCTGAGCTTAATTTTGTCAAACTTTTGTACAGTAAAATTACAGTGTTACTACTTTTCAAGCTGTTTTCACTAAACATTATAAGGCAATTTACTTTATATATTTGTTGTAATGGGGATACCGTTGAACTAAGTATCTTACTTTTGTATAATAGAAACAAATTTAAGAAAAGAAACTTTGTTTTAGTACTTATTAAACTTTGTTAGTTTAGTACTTATTTGAGAAACAGAATGTACACATGCCATTAAGTATGTCACGTTATTACGGGTCTCTCTGTATTAAAGAGTGTTGTTAACTTATAATATACACCGACTTTTAATAAGGTAGTTCCTCATTTCATATTATCAGTCCTGCTCGAAAAACAAGTACTACTTTTGTCTATTAAAAAACATTTGATGAATTTGACAAATTATGCTAGGTATTAACCTTTTCCCCTATAGAAAAGTAGCCTGTAAATTCCAGGTAGCTTCCAGGAGGCATTTCACTTAAGGGATTAGATATCTCTGGGAATCTACTGAGCTAACATGACAGTTCCCCTCCTGTCACAGAAACCTCAGCATTGATCTCGTGTAGCGAGTTGCTTTTTAGAACTCTTTCCAGGGAAACCTGGGTGCAGCCAGGGTAGTTGGTGGTGGGGTTTTTGTTTGTTTTGTATTTTCCCCGAGTGTGTTTCTTTTTCCCCTTCCAGATCGGGAGGAGTGCGCTTGTGACCTCCTCTTCATCTCTGCCTTCCTTCCCCTCCACACTCTCCTGGTCCAGGGACGAAAGCGCCAGAAGGGTTAAGTACATTCTGACCGGTCTGCTCTCTGGAAGATGGGCAGTGCTCCTGGCGCTTTGTGCTTCTCCTGGCCTGCTGCCCCTCCCCTAACTGCCCTCTGCCCCGCATGAGGCAGTGCTTCCCTCCTGGTGTCTCACGCACATGCACACATGCATGTCTGTAGGAGGTGACCTCCTTTGTGTCTAACTTCACCTGCTCAGTTTCATGTAATATTAGCAAAGTTCACAATCCACGCTGCAGCATTTATTTTGAGCGTGCTGCCTTTAAATAATCAGAAAATTAGCTGGCTGCTGGTTAAATATTGCAATAGAGTAAATCTGTCAAATTTTTACAGAGCCACAGTTACCAGGTTAAAACCAATATATTTGGATTAACTGAAGTACTAAGGCTTTTTAGTTAGTTTTTTTTTTTTTTTTTTTTTAACCTCCTGCCACATTGTATTGTCAGCACCAGACTTGACAGACTGAGGTTTTGCAGTCGCTGTCTCTACTTCTGGATTGTAACAGGGCAACATTTGGGGCATAGACTGTTCTACTGTGGAGCAGTTCATCTTGGTAGTTGGTTATGTCCCACCTGTTGAAGAATGACGTGTAGAGTCATTCCTTAGAGAGTCAGCTAAGGACCTGATCAGGAGTTGTCAGGCAACAAATATTTATGAAGCCCCTCCTCCATACCCAGCCTTTCGCTAAGTCAGTTAAAGGGTCGGAGGGACTTATATGACATCCTGGTCCCAAAGACACAGTCCGTTCAAGAAGTACTCCCATGATGGCAAACTGGGTAGGTCGTGGAAAGAACAGACTCTTGACGACTTATGTTCGGGTCCGGGTTCTTTTTTTTTAACCAAAGGGTGTTGTAACTGAGGTGAGAGGAGGGAAGTTGGGCTGTGGATGAGGGGCCACATTTACAGACAGGGAAGGATTTGTATTGGACCTTGTCTGTTCCCTCTTCAGCAGGAAGGTTAGAGAATCATCCTTTGCCACTGCCAGTGGCTCGTGGCTTATAAGGGCATTTGGGGGTTCTTTTTTGTACTTTAAAAGTAGCTATTCAAAAAGAATAATTGGTTTATGATACTTAGTCTTCTGAGCAGTTGTGATACTAATCTGCAGTGTATTCATAATAATATTAAATTATTAATAATAAAGGGGCAAATTAAAAATATCTCACTTGCAATTTTGTTAATAAGAGTCAAGACTCTTTTATGTATTGTGAAATCATTTAAAAATGTTTTTGTCAGGGATAGTTTTGAAAATCATTGCAAGAACTGCGTGCTCATGGTTTTATGCATAATTAGCAGTCAGGCCATTTAAACTTATAATCCTGATTAATTGTTCCTGATAACTTCATTGGGAGTTTAGTTTTTTGCGGTATATTCAGAGAAAACTGCAATTCTGTTAAATAAACTGAACCAGCACCAGCTATAAGGTAACTTTTCTATTAACAGCTTTGAGAGATAACATTTTTAACTAACAGATCTTAATTCTGCATGCTTACAGTAATTTTCATTAAATACTAGCTAATTTGAAATCCTATACTAAGCTTTTTGTTGACAACAATGAAGGATTTAATATGTAAGTTACTGATTTCCTGGGTGGTTTTGCAATCTATTGTTTTAAATACCTTAGAAATATTTCCTGAGTACTTTTATTAGAAACATGAGTTGTTATTCTTCAAAAATGTCTAAATGAAACTTGGTACTTTTCATCATTGTGACATAATGCATTTAATTTGTAATTATCAAGCTTACATCAGACTAAAGAGATCCATCATAGAAGTCTGGGATTTTCTGGATTTAATTCTGTTTTCTAGATTTTTTCCACTGGTACAGCTCTGGATGGATTTTCTAGAATAATTGTTTAAATGCAAGTTTTAACATCCATTTGTGTGTGTGTGTGTAGATGCATACAAATACATTTGTTCATGTGTGAATGTATGTATATAAAGGAAGAGAAATTTAAAGTTTAGTCAAACATTTCCTGTGAAAGGTAAGATGGGGTGGATTTTTGAGTTTGTTTTCTGCCTGGGGTGGATGGGTGTTGAGGTCAATTCTGGAAGAGCCTGCTTCTCTCTTCCCTGCAATGAATGCACTGCCTGTTTTTGGTGCTAAGACTTCCAGGAGCAGTGACTCCCTGGTTCATTCATAAAGGCAGATCAGAATAAGGCAGCAAGTGGAACAACTGCATGGTGTTGGGAGGTGTAGCCAGAGGGATCATAAAAGTTGCACTGGACTTTATAGAACTTAGGCTATATGACTCCAAAGCCAAAATTTTTAATTATTTGCCAGATAATTTGGGTAAATTATGAGAACAGAGCATGTGGGAGAAATGTGAAAGTACTCAGCAGACAGAGGGACTGGGAAAGACAAGGGACTGGGGATAAAAATAGGAGTCTTTCCTGCTTGAGGGTGGCTGCTTTCCTCACTGGCCTAGGACTGCACAGGGTGGGCGTCACAAGTGGAGGCATAGAATTAGACTTTGTGTAGACTTCCTGACACTGACTTTTACTCTAAACTAGCCATGCTTTTGGCTGGAATGATAGAGTCTCTGTTTGGTAAAACAGGGGTCTTAATTTACAACTATAACTTGAGCTACATTTAATACAGCATCAGTGAAATTCTTTAGATATTTTGATTAATTTGGATTAAATTCAAGGAATAGAGCCAGAAATACTTGTATTTGTAATCTGCAAGATAATCCATTTAGGCTTTGAATCAGCTTCTGGATTTTGTTCGTAGTGAAGAAATTGTCAAATACTGTGGATAAAACAAATACTGAAAGCAAATAATTTTTATTAAATGTAACTACCACAGTCCTCTTCAAGCCCACATCCAAGGAATGTAGATCCCTTCAAAATCTGTCACCTTGGAAGGTGCTGTACTTGATGCTGCCATAGGCTGGAAACATTTTTAGTATTCTTCTTTTGAATCTGTCCCATTTTTGAATTGCCATAGTTGTACCAAATCGTTACATTCTAAGAAAAAGATGTTTGGGTGACAAAGTAGTTTGAAACCTAGTATCACATTGTGCTAGAATATTTTGGTTCACAAACAGCATGTGGCAATAAATTAGTAAGATTGATTTTCACTAGTGTGGCTTAGATAAGCCCTCTCCAAGTGTTGAGTGGTGGCAGGTAATCCTCACAGCCCCAAGATTAGAGTATTGGAGACAACAGACAGGACCTGGTTCCTGGAGCTGTTTCTCCTGATTCACAACCTGATTGTGTTACCTAGACTTTTGATCCTTCACTTTCTCATCTCCTCTAACTAGACAACTTGCAGGCGACCTTCACTGCTGACTGTCTGTGAATGGAGATGTACCTTTGCTTAGATTTTCTTTAAGATTCATTTATTTATGCATACAGAACTGGGATACAGGCCAGAGGTGCAGATGGTGAGAAGGTTCACCAGAGACAGAGTGGGGAGCAGAACAGGCAGACTAATGAAGTACACTGATGAGGGGAACAGCGGGTGAGACAGAATAGGTCTGCTGCGCCAGGTGGGTCACCTCACTGGGCTGGGATTGAACTTGTGCTGAAGCAGTTGCGGCTGGCTTCATATTGCTGTGCTTTTTCCATTGCTCCACCTTTGCTTTTTAAATGGATCTCATAGTTAAGTCCTGTATTCCTTAGAAAGCTTAAGTGTGGGTGATTTGCCTTGCATATCAGTGTTAGTTTGTGACTGTTCACAAGGGTCTGCTTATGGCTGTTCATCTGAGCTAAGAAGAAAATGGTGCAAAGAAGGAAAGAAATCTCTGGATCTACTGTTCCTCTTTTACTGAATTTTCGACAAAGTGTGGTTTCTTGTTCCAAATGAGATCTGGGTCTGAAGGTAATGATTCCTGGGGAAGGCTCCCAAGAAGTGACTTGAGCTCTAAACTAATGGGGGTCACCTTTTGTCCCTTGTAGGCATCCAGGCTGGAGAAGCAGAACAGCACACCTGAAAGTGACTATGACAACACTCCCAATGACACGGACCCAGATGACATGGGGTACATCTGCAGGAAAAATGTGTCAGGGTTGGGCTCTTATATCTAAGACTCGCTTACTGTGTCAGGAAAAGCAAATTATGAACTGCACCTCTTTTCTCTATTTTCAGACCCTTGAGGTATAGGTTCAGAGTTCACACCTCTTCTCAGCTCACACTATGGCCACAGACGTGTTTTTTCCTCTAACCAGCATGTTGTACACAGTTCAGTGTAACACCCTCCCCGTTCACAACCTCTCTGTTCTCTCCACTCCACTTTCCCCCATCTTTACTCTTCTAATAGCAGCATGATTTCCAGCCCAATGGTAGATTGAAACAGCCTCCACGTGAGCTGTGGCTGCTTGTTGCTGAAACAGCCTTACTTGAATCTCCTGCCAGACAGGATAAAGAAAACCACAAAAGTAGCCGGTTCATGCATTTAGCAAACACATATGAAGAGGCTCCTTGAAGCAGACACTCAGCTAAGAAGCTGCGGTGCATCCAGCCAATTTTTGATGTTCACAGGTCCAGCAGAAAGGGGAGGCAGAGGAGCATGGTGTGGCAAGGTGAGGGCTCAGTACCAGAGGCAGCAGAAGCTCACACAGCCCCCAGCTCCGTCCTCCCCAGCACTGAGGATGTCATCCGGAAAACTGAGCAGATCACCAAAAACATACAGGAGCTCCTAAGAGCAGCCCAAGAAAATAAACATGACAGGTAAGGGGGGGGTGGTGGGGGTGCGGAAGCCCTGGGTGTCTGTGTTCTGGCAGAGATGCTGCCCCAGTTGTGAACAGGATTCTTTTCAATGTGCTGATTTTCCAGGCTTAAGAACCAATTTATAAATTTGGGTTTGTTTTTTATTAGCAGGGCTTTTTCAGTTTATCTTAAATTAAGCACTCCTAAAATAACTGACTCTAGGAATGTAACTGCAGCATAGTTGGGAAGGTGATATTCCTAGTTCAGGGTGGAGAAGGAGAGAAGCTACCTCCAAACTTAGGATCGGTTCTTCAGCCATTATGCTCACTCGGGTCTCCTTAGCTTAGAAGAGTTTTGTCCATATAAAATGCCTGAAATGGACCTCTTGCGTGTGCTTGTGTGTGTGCATGTGTAAATGTTTAAGAAACAGGTGGTTTACAAGTAGAAATTGATCTAGTCACCCAGATTATTCTCTACTCACAGAGTCTGCAGGAACTTGCTTTTGCCCAGTCCTTTTGTTCTCTGAGAACTTCAGATTGATGGTGAACCAGTCTGGGTGCCATCCTAGTTTTACCTCCGTGACCGACCTAAACACACCATGGAACACTGTTTAACATCACCCTGTTGACGTTGAGAAAGCTGTAGAGATTGTGCAAAATACGAAAGCAAGCCCAGTTTCCTCATGAGGTCGGCCAAGTGCATGGCCTCAGTGAAGAACGTGTCTTCATGCCCAGCATAAGCCCTTTCTCTCCTCATTCTCTTTAACATAAGCTGTGTTAGTGTCTCACATTCTGCTGTGCTCATCTCGTTTCTCCCCTGTACCTATGTTCATATGAGTTCTCCCAGCACTATTATTTTCTGCTGGGTGGAAGACGAGTGGTTAGTCTTTATTGACAGTTAAGAGCCTTCACAGCTGAGCTCAGAAAGAGGAAGCCACATAATTTCTCAGCCTCCTTCCAGGAAGATTGTACAACTGTTTACTTCCCGTTTTCCCAGGCAGCCTCTTCTGATAGGCCTCTGAGGCCTCACGTGCTGCGCTTGTTTAGTTTCTTTGCTCAGACCACAGCCTTGGCCACAGGCCACTTCATTATCCTATTACATAAAGCAAAATGTTTCATAGTTTGCAAAGTGTAGTCTTTAAAGTGATCTTGATACCAAGATGAGCCTCCTTTCCTCAGGCTCTTCCACCATTTAACAGTGTGCTTCATTCCTCATTTCCCCCAGTCCAAAAGTGTTGTCCTCCTGTTTCAAACTAAAAAAAAAAAAAAGTGTTGCATTGCCTGTCTCTTTCACAGTTGTCAAAAATATAAATATCTGCTTGGCGGCCATCTCTTGCTTTGAAGATCCTGGTATGATGCTTGCTACAGTTGGGGTGTTTAAGATGTACAAATCCATTCAGTAAATGTTGTGATCCACTTTCTTTTTTTAAAATTCATTTAAATCATTAGCTCACTCTCTTGATTTAAACCAGAATTGGCCTAAACAATTTATATTTTACAAATTGATATTCTATTAGCACACCTCAGGCACTTTGGTTTATAACCTTGCATTGTTCTGGTTTTTCTTTTCCTTTTTCCTCCTCTTGTTGATCGAGCCAATGAGCTATGCTAAGAGGACCCATGCTGGCATGTGGTCCTGATTCCCAGGGCCAAGCAAAACTCCTGTGTCCCCGAGACTTCCTGTGGCTTGGTCCACCCTCTAGGCCTCCATCCTCATTCTCCACCTGTCTGAATCTGTCTATCTGTCTCTCTCACACTCTGTTCCTCTCTCCCGCCCTCACACATTGCACACACATGCACAATTTAAAATTACTTTATGTTATGCATGAAAGCCTTTTTTGAGGAAAGAACAATTGAGAGTATGATGTTAAAGATAACAAGTTGTAAGTGTGAAGTCCCTCTGTTAAAGAAGAGAACTTTCTCAATATTTTGTGGCTTATTGTGGACTTCCTAAAAATTTCGAGAGTGAAATTTTAGGAAATTTAAGTCATGAAGGTCATTAGGAAAACTTCTTACCTGTGTAGCAAGAGGAAAGGGTGAATTATATTTCCAGGTCAGAATGAAAACTAAACAACAAAATATAAAGCTTGTAGGTATGACTCTCAGTTAATGTACTATCTCAATAGACATAGTGGTTCAGAATATTCCTGCACAATACAAACAGTTGTGGGCCTTGCCTTTTTTTCTGAGTGTCTGGGACCAAATGGGTTGTAGCTCCTTAGAGTTTCAAGTTAAGTAACATTCATTGGCATTTTTGTTATTACATGCTATGTGCTGTATGGATCTAAAGGATCTCCCACTTGAAGGTATTTGGTAATGATAAACTGTGTTCTTGGTTTGATTTCATGATTTAATTAAAATGTAGGCTGTGTTAATTGAAATGATTTTGACAGCTATTTTATAAAAAATGAAGTACAAAGATGGCTTATAACAGTCTTTATGAGGGATTGAACTTCATAACTCAAAAGATGGAGGAAGAATGTACCTGAAAGGCTTTCAGTGCTAAGATGGATGTTGAGCAGTATTTGGTTATAGAGCTTGGAAGAGAAATTTTAAAATGCAGCCACATGAGTGCACTTGCAAGGCCAAACCTGTGTGTTCACATCAGTACTTCTTATCGCACTAAAAGCAGGCCCATAAGTGCTCTTCCCATATCGCATTTCCCTTGGGTCCTGGGTCAGTCCTCGGGCCTGGTCTCAATGTGGTATACCACTTTCATTTTGTCTTTGTCTCTGCATCTTGTATACAGACAACTCGGGGCAGAAAAGTAACACTTTTTAAAAAAAGATTATTCATACAGAATGGGGTTCATGCCAGAGGTGCAGGGTCAGTGAGAGGATTCACCAGAGACAGAGCGGGGAGTAAGAACAGGCAGATCTACAAAGTATACTGCTGAGGAGAGCAGTGGGTGGGTCAGGAGAGGTCTGCCTCACCATGTAGATCACCTCTGGGGCGGGCAGGGATTGAGCTCATGCTGAAGTGGCTTTAGCTTCTTAGTGCTGTGCTTTAACCTGCTGCGCCACCAGGGAGGGCCCCAAAAGTAACATTTTTTAAGTCCGAAGAAGCTAGCCCCAGGGCCTCCCTGCTGGTCTAGGGGTTAAGTCTCAGCATTGTCATCACTACAGCCTGAGTTCAATCCCTGGCCAGGAAGGTGACCCACATGATGCAGCAGACCTCTCCTGTATCATCCAGTGCACCCCCCAGCAGTGTATTTCAGTAGATCTGCCTGTTCTGCTCCCCATTCTGTCTGTGGGGAATGCTCTGACCATCACCCACACTCTAGCCTATTACCCCAGGTCTTCTATACAAACATTACAAAAAAAAAAAAAAAAATTAACCCCAGATGAATTTGTCATACTACCAATACTAAGGATTCTGGATAAATCTCAAGTCTCGATTCTGCCACTTGTCATCATCTAAGCAGTGGAAAGGGGCTTGCAATAAAGATGTGAATCTGTTGGCCTCAGAGGTGAGAAAAGGTCTGTGTGATAAGCAGTGAGGAGCTGGGTATGGGGGCTGGATGGCCAAGGTTGAGCTCTGCTCTCTTACCAGCTTGGAGGGATTGGAGGCAGGCTCTTAGCCTCTTCTGGCCTCAGGTTCCTCATTTGAGAAAAGGGTGTAATAATGGTACCAACCTCATGGGGCTCTTGGGGAGAGGATGTGCATCTCTGCCAAGCATGCAGAACAGAGCCTGAACACTTGGGCTGTTGTCCACGGGGTCCTTGGAGACCTGGAGGAAAGATGAAGATAGCAGATTTAATGTGCTGTCTTCTTAGAGCTTGGCAGCGGGCTGAGAAAGTACGGACTGTGCTCAGAGCTTTTTACAGATCACTTCATGGCTACTCCATGAGAAAGTAGGTAAGTGTCTAAACAAGTTTAAAAAGCAGACTTCCATTTTCTTTGTATGCACAAAGTAAAACACTGGATGCCCCAACAAATCAGGTGTATTTGAATGGAAGGAATTTAGAAACATCCATTGGTTGAAGACCAGGTAGGTTTTGTGATATAGACACCAATGCTAATTGTAAGGAAATATTCTTAAGTCCTTTATTTATTATTATTTTTTTAAAGATTTATTTATTTAATGCATACAGAACTGGGGTACAGGTCAGAGGTACAGGAGCAGTGAGAGGATTCACCAGATACAGAGTGGGGAGCAGAACAGGCAGATCGACAAAGTACACTGCTGAGAGGAGCAGCGGGCAAGACAGGAGAGGTCTGCCAGGCCACACGGATCACATCTGGGTTTGGGGGCTGAACTCACACTGAAATGGCTGCACTGAAGTGGCTGCGGCCAGCTTGCAGTACTGTGCTTTAACCCTCTGTGCCACCAGGATGGGCCGAGTCCTTTATTTTTTAACTTCTGTGGCCTTTTGCATGGAAAGCCTCATTTCTTTCTCAAGAAATTAGGAAGATGAGACAAATGGAAATAAATTAATATCTTTACAGACTGACTGTTTTTGTGGCTTCACTTACAAGTGTTGCCTATGGTCACACCTGGAGACTGCTTTTATCAGAGTGAATGAACTTTCAAGAAAGAATGGAGCCCCTGCTTTACAATTCAAGCTTTGTTGGTATAGCATTCACAGTGGGCTGGCCATAGCTTCAGCCCCTTCAGGAAACATAAATGGGACCTATTTAACCTCTAAGTTTTCTTCACTTTGAATATTTTTATTGTCTTTGAATAACCTCTTCAATATTTTGCAGTTATATTCCCTGCTCAGAGAGGATACACATAGCTGTTACAGAAATGGCAGCATTATTCCCCAAAGTAAGTCACTTCCTGCTTATTTGGTTCAGATACTATTAAACAAAATGCAAGAACTTTCTTTATGACCTTTTTATTAGATTAACCTTTTTGTAGCAGAGAATGTAAGTAGTTCTCTAGGGCTTTGAATTACTTTTGTTCAGAAATATAGGGCTTTAACAAGACAGGACTGTACAAACTAAATGCTCAAAGGCATAGCATGAACAGAATGAAGTTTTACTTTGAGTATTTCCTCCGAGTAGGTCCATATTTTTCAGAATCCACTTCGAATAGCACCGACTACTGAAATAGTAGTACTGAATAGCACCTACTCTGACATGCATGCACTTGACCCTTGACTCAGAGCACTGGGGCACCTCACATTCTGGGGTGCAAAGCTTGCTGTGTTCCAAGCATTCCCTTTGAAAAGTACAAAAGAAGTGCCGTTCACGGTGGAAGAGCTTGAGGAGTTTTCAGGAGAAGCCTTGTCTCTGCTCTTGGGTGTCCACCTTGGAGCTCACGGCGAATGACTGTTCTTCTATTTAGAAACCCAAGTCTGACATGGTGAGGACATCCCTCCGCTTACTGACATCCAGTGCCTACCGACTCCAGTCAGAGTGCAAGAAGGCCTTCCCCGGGGACTCGGGCCTGCCCACGGACATCCAGCTGGTCACACAGCAGGTCATCCAGTGCGCATACGACATCGCCAAGGCCGCTAAGCAGCTGGTCACCATCACCACTAGAGAGAACAACAACTGACGCTGCAGCCTGGCCTCTGCCCCAGGCTTTGTGAAGTCCACTTTGAAGTTGAGACATGAGACTCTTCCGGTTTTTACAGAGACAGAGATTTAATGAAAGTTTAATACTTTTTAAAAGAAAATTCAGTATTATTTTTGCATGTTTTCTAACAATTTTTCAACTATTAATTTAACCCACTTGCCTTATTTTGTGCCTGTTTGCCAGTTTACTTTCTGACATTCTTGTACTGTCGTGACTGTTGAGTTCATGGTCATAGACATCCACAAGCGTAGCCTCATTGTTTAACATTTGTTAGAAAGTTTCCGCCCTTTAAAACTTTCTGCCGATGGTTAAAACTATAAATGAGCTCTCCAGTAAAACACTTGAGAGAGCTGGGTTTAAAAAGAGAATCAAAAATCACCATTACCTGTTCCCTACCAAGCATTGTGCAATAAGTGGATTTTCTAGCCTCTGGCCTGATCTCTTTAAGGCTGGGGTATCTCCAAGCATGTATATAGAGAATGGGCTTTGCCATTTTCTAAAAATAGTGTAGTGGTCTCTCCTGGAAGGAAACAATGAATTGTTCCATTTCTTTTCTCTGTTCTAGCATGTTCAGTGTTTTTTTGTTTGATCTTTCTCTCTTGCTCTTCTGCCCCTGTTTGACGCCCTGTCCTGAATCTGCCTGGCATCAGACGATTGCTCATCCTCCAGCTCGTGTCTCGTTCAGTCTTGTCCAGTTGGGCACACTGTCCACGTTACCATGTGTGGGCCGGTGTTCTGCTTCCCCCCAGACACTGGACATTTCATTCCGAAAGGACAGCAGAGAAACATTATGCAGACGCCTTAACTGACTGTGCCACCCATGCAGATGTCACTGCCATAAACTGAGGAGACGCTCAGCTCCCTGACAGGGCCAAAACCCTGTCATGCCTTTGACCCCTGAAGCTTTCCCACATGGTCTGCTCCACGTGACTCCTCACCTGAAAGGCCTTCTTCTAAGAGTTACAGCAGCCATCCATGCTCATTTCCTTGCTGGTACGTAAAAATTAGACATCACCTTTCAAGAATCCCTTACATAGAGTCTCTCTCTTCCATTCTCCCAAAGTTACGAGTGAGTACAGATTTAAGTTCTAGAACAATTGAGATTGCTTCCTGTGTTTCTAAAATGATCTTTCTTGTCCTGAATGCTAATGCATGTCCTCGTCGCTGCCGACAGTTCTTTGTGTGACCAGACCCAGACCAGAGCCGCCAGGCAGTGTGATGGGGTGAGTCAGGCCTGGGTATGGGGCGCAGTGAGGGGGCCCAGGGCTCACCCATCACAGACAGTCTCTCCCCAGCTCCACTCAGGCTGCTGTGTGGAATAGTGAGCGGGGGGGTTGTCAGAGCTTTGTTTTTGGTTTTTTTTTTTTTTTTTTTTTTTTTAAGATATACCACAATTCTGGCTATTTCTTGTGCCATTTCTTTGCAGACGTTGGCGGCTAATGTACTCATAAGCACATGTGTCGGGGAGTTCTCTTCTCTAGCCTGCCAGCTCATAGCCTCCACCACAGGGTGCAGTGTGAGGCCCTGGGTTCCCTGCTCCCTGGTTCGGCATGGAGCCTCACCTGTCATGTGGCTGCCATACCCTGTGTTATGTTGCTCTTAGTCCATGTTTAGCCCTGTGTCCCGCCCACAATGCTCACGCACATACCTGATGAAGTCAGAGTAATCGAGTTGCCTAGATACACGCTGAATAAGCCTGTATATTTACAGAACTGTTTGATTCACAAACACCTTTATCGCTTGACCATATGCTGTTGTGAAAGGAGCACCACAGTGGTGTTTGGTTTACTAAGCTGAGGCATGTGGAGGCTTTTGCCAGGTTTTGCTACACTGAGAAGTAGTGTCAAAGCTCATCCACTTGCTTGGCTGCACAACCCTAAGTGCCGCGCTCCTGTTGGATGCTCAGAGGATGCCCTCTGAAAGGAGGTCGTCTACCTTAAGTTCAAGCCCTGGTTGACAGCCTTGTCTGCATGCTGCATGTACTTAACTGACCCTCTGGGCTGCAAGCACTGTCCTCGTGTGGGCCTGCTAGTGGCCCTCGGGAGTGACCCTTAGCAGTCCTGAGTTGGTGCCCCTGACCTCACTGGGAGCACAGACTTCTGGCCGGTGAGCCATCCGCCTGTTCGCTTGGATGGAGGATGCTATTTCTGTGTCCTTAAATAAAATCAAGAAGCATGGGAACCAACAAAGTACTTCCAGTTGTAGGCGTACTCAGGAAGCGTGCAACTGCTCTGTTAACGCTGCGGTGCCAAACTGGAAACAAGTTCCAGGTGGAGTGGCGCCGTGTGCCGGGAGGCTCCAGGCGTCCTCGCGCCCCTGCACTCCCCTGCACCACCTGGGGCCTCGTGTCGAGGTGCTCAGGTGCCGTCAGCAAGTCGCACCTTGTTCTGCCCACCTTTTGCACGTGGGTCCCGTAGCCTTGCACTAGTGTCTGCATTCTGTGACATCATTCTCTACCCTTCATTCTCAGATCCCCACCTCACCCTACCCCCAAAGCTGATAGGATGGAGGTGCACTTTACATAACTGGCACTTGCTAAAGAGAAGGAAACAGCTCCACCCCTAAGCTCCTTTCGCTGAAATCATCTGCCTCAACGCAAATAGTTCTTATTTGCCAAAGAACAACGAATTGGGCCCAAAGATCAAATACAGAATCTCATAAAATTGAAGCTATAGACGCACAACTCAGGAGCTGTTAAGACAATTCTTAAGCAATTAAAGTTGCAAAAGCCAATAGTGAAGCTAGCATGTGTTGGTGCTCAAACTGCAGCCACAAGCTTCCCGGTATTATTATACTTTCTTTCCTTGTCCAAGTCAGAGGTCCTTATTTTTACGAAAGAAAATGCTGCATAGGAAAATGAAATGTCTTTGGTTCAAATGTGTTTTATTCATGTCATCCTTATTCTGTATTTTTCATTGTTATTGTACATTCTACTCCTGTAATTACTGTACGACCCTCTAAGTGTTGTAAAATCTTGGAATATGTGCCTGCTAGTTATGCAATAAACAGGCTCTATAAGTGCCTTTGTGGCGATTCTGTGCTCCTCATCCCTTAGTTGATTTTTCCAGATAATTAGAGTTCCAAAAACTTACTTAGCTCCATCTCTTGAACAAGAGATTATAGTTGATAATATTTGCATTCTTGGGACTCTTGGCTCACGTTGAGATGATCTCTTTCCTCCCCTTAGCAGATAGCTTTCTTGAAATCTTGCAGTAAGATAGCAGTTCCAGACATCTTATGAGTATATTTACACACCTTAAACTTAATTTTTTTCAATTCAGTGAAAACCAGAGTACAAATGCCCTTGCTACTTCCTAACAGGTTATCCCGTCATGGAGTTAAGTTCAGCTTCTCAAGGCCACCTGTGTATTTTTACTTTTACAGCAAGACCCACTGTGCAGATTCACATGAGGAACTGCAGTGTAGATTTTCACCTGGCTTCCTCAGGGCCACCACAGTTTCATCTGGCAAGATGCCTTGGGGTGCTCCTCCCACACAGGAGTCAGGATTGGGCCTCTACAAGTGCCATTGCTAATGAGAAGTCTGGGGGAGATGGAGCACCCTCATGGGGTGATCCAGCTACCTGAGGACCCAGAGCAGTGAGTGGGACTCGGCACCTTTTAGGATGGGTTCTGCAGCCTGCCAGCGCCTCTGGGTCTTGCTGAAACATGACCTCCAAGGCATCTGGGATTCAGCAGCTCTGGGCAGGAATCTGTGTTTGCATTTCTGACAGGTTCTCAGGAGACCCCACTCTGCGGAGCTCTGCTGTAGACCATTTTCATATAGTTTCTTGTCTGCTGAATTTAAGCATGTTTCTAATTATAGCTCCTGTCTATCAACTGTTCAGTCTGTCAGATACTGCTCGTTTTACATGTCTGCACTTATTATCCTGTCCTCAGCACACCCCTATTAAGCAGGTTGAATTGCTTCTTTTTCACAAGTGAAGTTCACATATGGAGGAAAGTGGGGGAGTATGTGTTAATGACTGACTGTGTCAGACCAGTCTATATTCCCTGTATCTCCCACATGCAGCATCTCTCACCACTGAGTCTCCAAAATCCCTCTTCACAGTCCTCATGCCAGCCTACATCTTCCCTTCTTGTACTCCTCTTCCCCTTTCCCACTTAGGCCTTTGTTACCTCCTACCCCTGGTCTGTCCTTGGCCTGGCTCTACACCCTATGCTTCTTTCTCGACTATTGATCTTTCCACATTACACATGAAAAAGTTGAAATTAAGCTGATGTTGCAATGTATAATCCTCATCCCTCTCGCCAGGATTGGTCTCTTAGCCTTCTCTTGCACCAGGACGTCTTCCTTCTCCCAGCCCTCCCCTCCCAAGACCTCACTCTTTTAATATAACCCACTCACCCCACCCTATACCATGCAGACCGGAGGACCCAGTTAAGATCTGCACTATGTCTCCACCCACTGGGCTAGTGCAATTTCATAAAGTAGGAACTGAAATGATTCCTGTTTTGTAGATGAAGAAACTGAGGCTTGGCCCTGAGAACCCAGTTAGGTGTAGTGGAGCAAGTCAGAGCACCAGGTTCATGCCTTTAACCATGGGGCTTTACTGACACACTGAACTACCCAGGACGAGGAGCAGAATTTCTGGAAGTGAAAGAGGGTGTGGAAGGCCTTGAACTCAGTAGAGGTACAGTAGTAGTTTCACCTAGGAGTGTCAGAGCAGGGAGTCTGGGATGCTGGTCTCTGTGTGGTCCTCTGGGGAGTGTGAAGGGAGCTATGGGTAGGCTGACAGGAATGAGGTCTGGGTGGTCCAATTTGGATTTTGTCTTTCAATTCCTTGGTTTTACCACAGATATTTCTCATCTTTTCTGTCTCAAGTTGAAACATTGGTAATCACTTCGCTATAGATTCTGATCTATGAGTGCAACTCAGCTATTTTGGCAGTACCAGGATCTTGCAGATTCCATCTGGCATGCTGACTCACCCTGTTTGGCCCTCTGGAAGGAATAGTGCCTGCTGCTAGAAGTAGGAGGGCTCCCTTAGGGCATGGCATGGGGACTCCATGGCCATCCCCACAGTAGAGAGAGATCCCCCCCCCCCGACTGAGGAGAATGGGGAGTGTAGCCTGAGTCTACTTCTCCCCTGTTAAAACAAATCTTAAAAAAAAAACAAAAAAACTATTAAATGATTTTTAAATTTTAAATGAGCTATTTATTGAAACAATAACTTTCTACTTTTTTTTACTTAATTTTATTGTATTGGTTTACAACAATACATAGATTTTAAAGGTTCATAGACTTCAAATGTATCTTCTCACACTACACCCAGCACCAAAGGGAGAGAGAGAGGAAAAAAAAAAAAGATGCTAATCCCACCGAAGTATGGCAGCAGAGACAGGAGAGTCTCCACCATAGTGAGGGTGTTTCCTAGTGGGCAGTAGTGGGATGGGACAGATTTCCACTAGGCAGAGAACAAGGTCTTTTTGAGCTTTGTGTTTTCTATGCTTACCACAGCCTCACATCACTCTTCATATCTCACGGATGAATAACTAGACCCAAAGAGATGTCCACCAGCCTCTAAGCTATAGGGTGAGAGGACTAGAATCGCGTCAACTTGGGCCACATCCTTTGCTCTTCCTCCCTCCCCCAACCCCCACTGTGAACTATAAAATACAGAAACATAGCCAGTGTGTCTGTGTGGAACTACAAAGTAGTCACCTGTGTCCCATTCCCCAGCTCAAGAACTAGAATGGTTGTCTCTTTTCACAATTCCCACAGACCCCCTTCCCTTAGACTTATGTGCTAATTGTATTCTTGTTTCTGCTCCATACCATTGTACAGCCCTAGTGAGAGCTTGATTTTTGCCTGCCCGTAACAGAGCATCCTGCTGTCTTTTCTTTCCTTCACCATGTTAGATTCAGCTAGATGAATGTGAGTAGCTTTTGAGTTGACCAACATGGAAGAAACAAAGAATAGGGATCCTGTGACGTGACTCCTGAATTTTAACAATCATAGAAATGTTAACAATGAAATGAAACAGAAAATAAGAACTGTAATTAACATAAGGCAGACGTCAGGAAGGATTTCTTTTTTCCTCATTATTTTGGAACCAGTGTAAACAGGTAATTCTAAATATCTAATCTCCTGGATTCGGTATTTTGGTATTAAGAGTACAATGTTAATTTTATTAATGATTATGAAAAAATAACTGCTGAATTGCATAGGAATTTTAAAGGAAATGAATACTAAGCCATAATATCAAAGATCACATGAAAAGTACCAAGATAATAGCAATTTTTATTAAAATATATTTAAAGTGTATATAGATCCACACACATAATTTATGATTATGGTGAGCATTACACAAATATTTCAGTTACTGAAAAATCATATGAATGGAATTACATCACAGAAAAGTGTTAAAATCTATTTTCTTTGTGATAAAAAAAAGCAGAAGGCGGCACCATCTCCCTCTATACTTTTAAAGATTCCAGTTTTCCCAGCACAGGTTGAAAAGCCTTACTCTGCAAGTGCCTTCTTGGCCACACACAGTGTTACAGTCTGCATGAAGCCCTACACACACACGCAGACCACTCTGGCATTGTAGGTTAAGATGTGCACGTAGGGGAAGAGACCAGCGGCATACAGAGACTCGGTGATCTTCATAGATAGCGCCCATCAATCCACCCACAGCATCACAGTCCTTGTGAAGTCTGGTGGAGTGCCAGACTCAGCCCAGCCACCAGTCCCTAGTACCCCAGTAGAAACACCCTGAAGAGATGACCACCAGTACAGTGGCACAGTGGCCCAGCACACAGAAAAAATACAAAAACAAACAGCAGAGAGAAAGAAAAATACAAACAGCTAAGCAAGACCCGGAACTCAACAACAATAATGTAGAAGAATTTCAGTGCCTAACAGAGAATTCAGAATCGCCTTGATTAAAAAACATGAAGATGAAAAGGGAAAGAATCATACGCAAAATATAATTAATGAACTGAAGAATGAAATGGAGTCTTTAAAGAAATAAATGAAGGAAATGCAGGATATTAAAAGATTAATGGAGGAACTTAAGAATTCTGAGAAAAGTAACAAAAACAGAATTAATAAAATGGAAGAATGAATCAGAATTCTCAAAGATACAAACATAAAACCAAAAAAGAAAAGGAGTATGATCGACAAAGGAAAAAGAATGAAGAAACACTTGAGAAATATCTGGCACCATAAGGAAAGGAAATGTAAGAGTCATAGGAATCCCAGAAGGTGAAGAGAGAAAAAAGAGCATACTAAAGAAAATAATTGAAGAGAACTTCCCAAACATGAAGAAGGAAATGAAGATAGAAATACAGGAAGCTAAAAGAACCCCACATTACCACAATGAATGTGACAACTGCAGCGAAGCACATAAGAATGACACTTCCAAAAGTCCAAGACAAAAAAAATATAGAGATAGTAAAATATATAGATGTGACAAGGGGAAACAGATAACTTGTAAAGGGAAACTGATTAGGCTGACATCAGATGTCTTTTTTTTTTTAAAGATTTATTTATTCATACAGAACTGGGGTACAGGCCAGAGATGCGGAGGGTGAGAGGATTCACCAGAGACAGTGGGGAGCAGAACAGGCAGATCGACGAAGTACACTGCTGAGGGGAGCGGCGGGCGGGTCAGGAGAGGTCTGCCACGCCATGTGGATCTCCTCCAGGGCAGGCGGGAATCGAACTCATGTGGAAGTGGTTTAAGCTTCTTAGTGCTGTGCTTTAACCCGCTGTGCCACCAGGGAGGGCCCTTTTTTTTTTTTTTTAAGATTTATTTATTTATGCCTACAGAACTGGGGTACAAGCTAGAAGTGCAGGGGCAGTGAGCAGATTCATCAGAGACAGAGTGGGGAGCAGAACACGCAGATCTATGAAGTACACTGCTGAGGGGAACAGAGGGCAGGTCAGAAGAGATCTATCTTGGCTATGTGGGTCATCTTCCTGGCCAGGGATCGAATTTGTGCTGCACTGGCTATGTATAGATTCACAGTGCTGCACTTTATCCCATTGTGCCACCAGCAAGGACCCTGATAATCAGATTTCTCTGAAGAAATACAATGGACAAGAAGAAAATGGAGCAACATATTAAAAAATTTCCAAGATAAAAAATGCCAGCCAAGAATACTTTATCTTGCAAAATTCTATTTCATATATAAAGGAAAAATAAGGAACTTAAATAAACAGTCTTCAGAAACTTGCTACTACTAAGCCCCCACTCAAGAAATAATTACACAAAGCCTTAAAATCTAAATCAACAGAAGAATGAGCTGTAAGAACCAAACAAAAGAATTGAATAGAAACAAAACTATAAACAAAATGGCAACTATAGACTCTTATGTATCAGTAATCACCCTAAATGTAAATGGACTAAATTAGCTGTTAAAAGATACAGGCTAACCTGTAGGATGAGAAAACAGAACCCAATGTCTGCTGTCTCCAAGAAACACACCTAAGAGCCAAAGATAAACAGATTAAAAGTAAAGGGCTGGAAAACAATTCTACAAGGAACTGTCTCCCCAAAGAAGACAGCAGCAGCCATAGTTATGTCAGTTAAGAGACTAAAAAAGATGACAAGAAATACTGATGGTGACAAGGAGATAATCAAGGGGACAGTAAGCCAGGAAGTTATTACACTCATCAATATCGATGCACCCAACAAAGGTGCACCAAAATACATTAGACAATTAATTTTGTAAATGTATTTCTTTCTTTCTTTTTTTAGAGATTTATTTATTCATACAGAACTGGGGTACAGGCCAGAGATGTGGAGGGTGAGAGGATTCATCAGAGACAAGCCCGGGAGCCAGGCAGATCCACGAAGTACACTGCTGAGGGGAGCAGCGGGTCAGGAGAGGTCTGCCGCGCCATGTGGTCACCTCCGGGACAGGCAGAAGTGTCTTTAGCTTCTTAGTGCTGTTCTTTAACCCGCTGCACCACCAGGGAGGGCCCGACAATTTTGAATCTGGAAAAAGACATTGGAGAAAAATGTAAGTGGCAGTAGACTTCAACACTCCATTCTCACCAATGGACAGATCAATAAGACAAAAAATAAACAGACACAATAGCCCTAAACAAAGACCTAGAACACATAGGCCAAATAGACACCTATAAGACACTGCACCCCCCAAACACTGAATACCACAATCTTCTCAAGTGCACACGGATCATTCTCCAGGATAGGCCATGTACTGGGATACAAGCATCAACAAATGCACAAAGAGAGAAATCACACCAACCATCTTCTCTGACCTTAAAGGCATCACTAATTCTATATAACTACCCACAGCTAAATACAAGAGATAGAAAACCTAAACAAATCAATTACAAGTAATGAAATAGAAATGGGAATCAATCCCTCCCCAAATCAAAAGCTCAGGTCCAGCTGATTTCACAGTGAGTTCTAGCCAATGTTCAAAGATGAACTGATGCCTGTCCTGCAAAAACTCTTCCAAAAAATTGAGAAAGAAGGAATATGATGATCAAATACATGTTATGAATCCAAAATTACACTAATACCAAAACCAAACAAAGACAACATAGAAAAAGAAAACCACAGAGCAATCTCCCTAATGAACACAGATACAAAAATAGCCAACAAAATCATGGAAAACTGAATCCAACTGTGCATCAAAAGGATGATACATCATGACCATGTGAAATTCATACCAGGCACGCAAGGATGGTTCAACATCCAAAAGTCAATTAATACAATTCATCAAATCAACAAAAAGATAAACAAAACCACATGACATATCAGCAGATGCTTACTGCCTCCTGGGTGCTCCAGCTCCCGCCCACCCCGCCGTTGGGTGTGGGTGAGGGACAAGTACCCGCCGCCTCGGGCTTGTCACACGCTGGTGCGCAAGTGGGGCGCACCCCCCCACCCACACACCATTGCATAGTAACGCGCCCGCTGCCCCGGAGCTTGGTAGGGTGCAGCGCTGGGGCTTGAAGCCTGTCCCCGCGAGCGCCGCGGCTGCCGGGCGCCGCACCTGTTCCCGCGCAGGGTAGAATAGAATCCAGACAGTCCTCCAGGGATCCTGAGATTTGAAGGTCTGGCCTCGGGTAAATCTCCGGACCGTTGCCTTCTGACCTCGTGCTCACGCTCACGGGTATTTACTGGTGTTGCTTGGCAACGGTCCTTCTGGAGAGAAAGGTTCCAAACTGTCTTAGAGGGCTTGGTGAGGCCGTTGGCTCATCGATAGCAGTTGACTCACTGGCTCCAAACGCGCTAGAGTCTGGCGCTGCAGGCGACAAAGGCCGAGCGGTGAGGAAAGGGTATGAGGTGTCTCAGGGCCCCCAGGCTCTGCCATGAAGAACGTGTTTAGCCTGCGGAGTAGGAAGGGCTGGTGGTTCTGGGGCATCAACTCACAGTCCCACAACGCCGGCGTCAAGAATGTCAACTCAAGGCAGCGTGGGTACAGCGACATTCACGAAAAAGATCTGGGGAAGATCCACAAAGCTGCGGTGGTCGGAGACGTAGCCAGAGTGCAAGAGATTCTCCTGCTGGGGAAAAGTGGCTTGAATGATCAGGACAAGCAGCTCAGGTAACCAGACAGCGCGCGGGTAGGGAGGAGGCGGAGGTCGCGCGAGAAACGCCTCTCGGGGCTCAGCCAGCCGCGCGCAGCCCTGGGACCACATCGCCGGCACCAGCCCCTGGGTGCTGAGATTCAGCGCCCGCGTCGGAATGTGCCCAAAACCCAGTGCCTAATTTTGTAGATCACTTTGACAATTGATATGCACACAATTTGGGTGTGCGTATTTTTAACCATTATGCTGCATATTGTAGAAAGTGTGTGACGAGAAAAATAATTCTTTGGGTAAAAGTTTTTCGGATCAACTCCACATTCATTTATATCAGTTTACATCTTTTTCTACAAGTTCTTTTGTGAGCAAAGGAAACTAACTTAAGGGAGAAGATGGCTCTGGCTTCTCAAACAGAAAAACTCAATTTTTAAAAATGTAAGAAGCCCTTCCTATGTTGACTTTGCACAACTCAAATAATATGAAAGTTTAAAAACTTTGAATTACACTGCTGTCTTTTATTGGGAAGAAACTTAGAAACTTTTTTTTATAGTAGACAAAGATCCTCCTAGACAGCAAAATGTGCTACAAATTTCCACCAAGTAGTCAATTAGGTAAAGGACTAAGTAAAAGAAGAATGAAGTAACATTTTCCACGCACAGGATTGCCGGGATAAGGAACAATGATATTTGTTCTATTGTTTGAAGTTTAAGTGGTTTTTGACTTTTCAAATGGTCAATTAATTGGATGATAAGTACCACATGTAATGTTTCTTTTACAAATCAATTACATTTATTCTAAAATATCATCAGGAAGCCGAGATATATAACTTCCTTAAGCGCTGCTCTCAAACTATTAATGCATTAGGAAGAACTCATACAATGGATTTTATGAATGAATTTCAGTGCATTCACAGAATGACATCTGACAGTAGAAAGTGGCAGAGACAGATGTGTGATGACATCAAAGATGAACTTTGGCTGATCATTAAGTGAGAAAAGTTATTTTGATTAATACATACACCCAGGTTCTAGTCTCATGTAATCCACAATTACGTAACAAACATGGGCAAACTTTTATTTCAAGATTTTCTACGCCTTTATAAAAAATCTACTGTCTAGAATGACATGTATACAAATTCTGGTATAAGTTTACCATTGGTGAAATAACCCTGGAGAGGAGCAGGAGTATGGTTGTTGCACAGATGAAAATATTCCTCACTTTCTGTTTTCTTTTAAATTTTATTTTTTTTTAAAAAAAGTTTTATTTATGATACAGAACTGGGGTATAGGCCACAGGTGTAGGGGCATGAGAGGATTCACCAGAGACAGGGTTGGGGGTAGACCAGGAAGATCTACTGAAGTACACTGCTGAGGGGAGCAACCGGCAGGTCAGGAGAGGTCTGCTGCGCCATGTGGTCATCTCCCTGGTGGGGATAGAACTTGTGCTGAGGTGGCTGTGGAGAGCTTCACAGTGTTGCACTTTAACCCATTGTACCACCAGGGAGGACCCTTTCTCTTTTAAATTTTCTTGAGGATTGTTATTTCTGACTGAACTTTTAGGAGTAAAGTTAACCTTTTTATATGAGCTTGTAGATATTACTCTATACGTATTTAGTTATATTCATGTTTTATTATATATAACTGTCGACTAGCGAATGTAAATCATCATACTTTAATGATTTTATTTTAGTTGCACATTTATGGGAAAATGTAGCAAACAAATGATTATTGTTATTATTGACAAATGTCAATGATGATTATTGCTATTATAAATGTACTGCTTTATTTCATTAAAGATGCTGACTGAGTGGCACCCCCAGCGTTCTTACTCTCTGAGTGGGATGTTGTTCAAGCTAGCTTCTCTGTGAGAGCACATGTGGACTCTGCTGGACCACATGAAAGCACGTGGAGTATTGATGCAGTGGCTGTAATGGAGACTAAAACATACACACATTCAACTCTCCAACTGTATTTATCCATTCTCTCCATTCATTTGTATTCATATAACCTGAATATGTGTTATGTAGCAAACATAGTCTACTATAGCTCAGGGTCCCTCATCCTTAAAAACTATATGCTGCCTAGTCTGAGGTAGCTGAGAAATTTAAAACTGAAAAACTGTATTAGGGCTTCATCTCAATTGAAGGTTTTTCTACTTATTCTCAAACAAAAGCATTTCTGACCATAGGAAATTGTAAAAGATAACCTTTACTTGACCATTTGAAAATTTATAATAGTACTAAATGCTATTATTAAGTATTGGAAATACTGATTTTCCCACTGTTTAGCAATCAAAATTGTGACTATCAAAATAGTGAATAAAGTGAGCCATTCCTATTCGTAGGAAAGTTCAGTTTCTTTTGGCTTAAAGTTTCTTGAAAATCAAAGTTAAGATTACTCTGGGGCCCTCACTGGTGGCGCAGTGGGTTAAAGCACTGCACTAAGAAGCTTAAGCCACCTCGGCATGAGTTCGATTATGAGTTCGATTCCCGCCTGCCCGGGAGGAGATCCACAGGGCATGGCAGACCTCTCCTGACCTGCCCGCTGCTCCCCTCAGCAGTGCACTTCGTTGATCTGACTGTTCTGCTCCCCACTCTGTCCCTGGTGAATCCTCTCACCCTCCACATCTCTGGCCTGTACCCCAGCTCTGTATGAATAAATAAATAAATAAATCTTTAAAAAAAAAAAAAAGATTACTCTGTGCCCTTCCTGGTAGCAACAGGTTAAAGCGCAGCATTGTGATCCATCTGCAGCCACTGCCGCACGAGTTCGATCCCCAGCCATGGAGGTGACCCACATGGCGGCAGACCTCTCCTGACCGGTCTGCTGCTCCCCTCAGCAGTGTATTTCAGTTAATCTGCCAGTTCTGCTCCCCACTCTGTCTCTGGTGAATCCTCTTACCCTCCACACCTTTGGCCTGTATGCATAAATAAATAAATCCTCATGTCAATAATGCTTTTTAAAAACTATATATAATTGCCAGTCATGTAAGTGGAATTGCAATAGACATTTTGTTTATACCACATTTCACTTAATGTGCCGCCACTGGGTTGTATGATGCTCCACTATGGTATGTACCAAAGAGTTATTTTTTCAATGCTGTCAATTGTAGTTGGATTACAGTATGAATTATACATTGCCCTCCAAGGTCAGAGATGTTAAAATGTGAGAAAGTGAAGTACTGTGTTCCCTCTAAAACAAACATATCTGCTATGTAGGTGTATTTGCATCATCTTAATTAAGTTATTGTCTTCATGAAGTGGTATAGTATAAGAACTAAGAATAGTAACTGACAAGAATGAGCTGCTGTTTGTGCTTAGGACTATTCTGAACACTTTGTCTAGAGTCTCTGTAGGCACCATGAAGTATTCTGTGGGAGAATGTATCAGTGAGAAATTGAGGTTAGAAACTAAGCAATAGGGCCTGGTGGTGGAAGGGGTTGTCTCAGCACTGTGAAGCCAGCCACAGCCCCTGCAGCACCAGTTCAATCCCCAGCTAGGAAGCTGACTCACATGGCACAGCAGACCTCTCCTGTCTCCCCACAGCAGTGTATTTCAGTCAATCCACCTGTTCTGCTCCATTCCCTGTCTGATGGATCCTCTCATCCCCTGCATCTCTGGCCTGTACTCCAGTTCTGTATGCATAAGTAAATAAATCTTTAAAACAAACAAACTAAGTAATAACTATAAAGGACAAAATAAAGCAGGATTCAAGCCCAAGTTGAGCTGAATCCAAGGTTCATGCTCTTTCATTAATGGGGTAAGAAGAGCTAATAAATGCACTTTTGCAGAAGAAAACGGATAGAGATCACTCGCTATCTTATTAGCCACGGCTCCATGAGTCTGGTGTGTTTGGGCCTGTGCACTGTCATTTCCTAAAGGGGCCTCTCGCTTTCACAGGACTGCCCTCCATCTGGCCGCTGCCCATGGACATGAGGAAGTGGTAACCCTCCTCGTAGAGAGAAAATGCCAGCTTAACCTGTGTGACAGTGAGAACAGGACAGCTCTGATGAAGGTATGTGCTAGCCGGTTACCCAGCATGAGACGGATCTGACTTACACGCTTAGATTGCAAATGAATTTATGAACCTCATTGAAGCAGATGTAGTTGGCAAGACTTATGAAATGTTTCCACCAAATTCCTAGCTTTTACTGTTTCCTTGTGTGATACCGACAGGCGGTACAATGCCAGGCTGAGGCATGTGCAACTCTTCTGCTAGAACATGGTGCTGATCCAAACATCATGGACACCTACGGCAACACTGCTCTGCATTCTGCAATCACTACTGACAACACAGCAATAGCAGGGAAGCTGCTTTCACACAAAGCAGATATTGAAGCAAGAAACAAGGTACAGGCCAAGCAACTTTGTTGACAAATATTTGTTAAGTCACAAAGCATTTTTCTGTGTCTATCTGATACATCAGCATACATGTATATTGACAGGTATACATAAGGTTCTGTTACTATAGACACAACTCCAAAACCAAGTGAGGCAGATCTAGAAGATGATGATGCCCACCCATGGATAGGCCAAAGGTCTGTTGCCTGGTCACCTTTCCACCCCAGATGGCAAAACTGGCTGGAAGTGGGTCTGGTGGGGACTGGGTGCTATGCACGGGCTTTGGAAATGGGTGCTACGGGGGATGGATGGGACAGAAAGGGAGACTCCACATGCAATCCCCATGGTTGCAGATGGTTGGGAGAATCAGCAGCCTGCCAGGCCCGGGGCTCTGCAGACGCTTAAGGTTCTAAAATCAGGGCAAGGGGGTCAGGTCGTGTCTGACATCTGTGTAGGCATCCACTTGTGCTGCTCACCATGCTGCCCACTTGAACCACCGTGGGGGCTGCCCCAACAGGGAATAGCCCTGTCAAGCATATGCCATACCTCTGAGGGGTCATAGCTGTGCACGGGGAGCAGGTGAGACGAAGCCAGCGCACCTGCACTTTCCTCTGGATGGTCTGTCCCTGCAGCTCTGACAACCCAGAGTTCATTTGATGTCTTCGTTTTTCAATTCAGAGTCCACTTCCTTCGTCACCCATTTGGAGTAGGGCCATCAGCTCTTGACATCTGGGATTCAGGGGCCATTGATAGAACAGAACCAAGCAAGTTGATGTGGCCTGTAGAAAACTGTCCCCTGTAATGGAAAATGCTCGCCCAAATCCCCACAAGTCTTAATCCCTCAAATGCTGATGTTGCTGGACATGTAATGTTTTGTGATATCTCTGTAATAATAGATGATCGTGAATGTTTCTAGTGGTAGATAATGTTACTTAAATATGATTTAAGTAACACTACTCCAGAGATAAATATTATGATTACTAATTAAATTTTAAAAATTTAAAGCATTTACTCTACTATGTCTTAGAGTTGGGATATACAGGAGATTTTTTTTTTTTTGAAGGAGTTGCTTGAGATCTCCAGAGCATCTTGGTTTAAATGGGGAGCAATTCAGTAACTAAAGTAGTCATGGTAAATTCTGTGATGGAAGCAAGATTCTTGGAACCAGTAAATGTTCAGAGTGAGTTTTGGAGACAGTTTCACATCTGTTGAAATGAGAGAGAGGAACATCTTATTATTTATTAATTTATTGTTTTTTTTAAAGATTTACTTATTTATGCTTACAGAATGGGGGTACAGGCCAGAGGTGGAGGGGATTCACCAGAGACAGAGTGGGGAGCAGAACAGGCAGACTGACAAAGTACACTGCTGAGGGGAACAATGGCCGGGGATTGAACTCGTGCTGCAGTGGCTTCGGAGAGCTTCATAATGCGGTGCTTTAACCCGTTGTGCCACCAGGGAGAGCCCCTATTAATTTATTTTTAAGTTAAACATTTCTTATTTATTTATTATTCTTGGTACATTACCATAATTCACAGGACAATATACCTTATTTAATGACAAGAAAGAGACAAAGCAACCACAGGTAAAATAAATATCGACTTAATTGACATGCCATTGCTTTTATTAGTAGCTGCACTGTGGTTTTGACCATCCTGACCAAGAAGGGTTTCCAGTTACAGCCGCAGGAACTTCCCTGACTATGGGGTCATCATTCCTTCTGTGCAAATGTTTACATTCCTCAGTGGGTTTGGGGTGACTGAAAGTAACCTGTAGCTTCCCTGCTAGCAGCTTGCCCCTCTGTCCTGCCAGGACCGTAACCCTTTTCTGCTGAATTTTTATTTGCTTCAGCAGCTACAGTCACCACTTCCACACTGGAACCTAACACCAGCACAGGGACTGCCTGAGCTTCTCTCACCAAAGCTGCCACCTGCCTGGGTCCCGTTGGCCACAGTAACTCCCCAAGGCATTGTAATTCCCACCACTACCATAGTTATCACTATCAAGATGTCTTCTTCCACCGTATCCATCATATTGTCCACCATAGTTATCACTATCAAGATGTCTTCTTCCACCGTATCCATCATATTGTCCACCATAGTTATCACTATCAAGATGTCTTCTTCCACCGTATCCATCATATTGTCCACCATCACCACCTTACGCACCACCTTGGAATTCATTACTGCAGCTGAGTCATCGCTGCCGCATCCATCGTATCCACCCTCGCCGCCTCCACAGTCCCTGCTGCCACCCTCCACCACCGTGTCCTGCTCTTCCATCAACGTTCCCTGCATTAAGTTGCCGGATCCACCAGCCCTTGGTGACCAGCAGACTACATTTCTTGTTGAGAAAGTTCCTTTTCCAAGTCACAGTTATGCCCATTAATAGTGAATTTCTGAACTACAACTTTATCAGCTGTATCATGATCATCAAAAGTTACAAGAGCAAATCCTCTCTTTTTTCATTAATCCTTCATTAATCTTCTGTGGTTTCAATCTATCCTTCATTAATCTTCTGTGGTTTCAATCTTGCCATAATTTTCAAAATAGTCTCTCAAATTGTATTGCTCTTTACCTTTAATACCAACAACAAAAAAACGTCTTCACTGTTAAATTGGCACTAAATCCTCTCTAGAAACCCCGGTTTTTTTTTTTTTTAAAAGATTTGCTTATTTATGCATATAAGAACTGGGGTGTACGTCAGAGGTGTGGGGGATGAGAGGATTCACTAGAGACAGAGTGGGGCAACAGGCAGATCTACTGAAATCCACTGCTGAAGGGAGCAGTGGGCGAGACAGGAGAGGTCTGCTGGGCCCTCTGGGTCACCTCACGTGGCCGGGGATCAAACTAGTGCTTGAAGGGCTGCGGCTAGCTTTGCAGTGCTGCGCTTAAACCCATGGTGCCACCAGGGAGGGCCCTAGAAGCCCCGCTCTGGCTCCACTACCACCTGCCCATCACCCGTAAGGGGTAGAGCACCCATTGTTGGACCCACATCTTCCACATAAGACTCTCAAAACCAAAGGCCTTGAGTGTTTTGTTCGGTGGCTTCTCATCACCATGTAGTCGTGTATAAATTAATAAGAGGCTTAACTTACAGTTACTGGTATATAAGGAAAACTATCAGCACGTCGTCAGGTGGGAAGAGAAGCAGTTACTCTGGATGGGCAACATGAAGCACCCACATAGCCTGTAAGAGCGCCCCATTTCTCAAAATATTCTCTTACCCTATCATATGTGGATTCAAAGCCCAGACTCCCCCCCGGCAGTGGACAGTTTTCCCAACTGCCCTGGTTCCTTTGGGTCATGGGGCTCCATTCTGAAACCAGACTGGCCTCTGCACAGTGGGACCAGAAGCAGGGGGACATTTTAAGGAAGGAGCAGTGCATACGGGAATGAAGAGGGGCGAAGGAGAGGGCTCCCTGTTATTTAACTTCCCTATTATGTAGTTAAGTTCAGAGAATCTCTGGTAAGATTTAAAATTCAGTCTAAAAAAGCGTGATTTTGGAAATTATAAATTGTATTTGCTTTTTCCAGGCTGGCCTCACACCTCTTCTAATTGCTATCAATGAAGGGAAACAGGAAATGGCTGAATTTTTCATCAAAGAGGGGGCAAACATACACGCTGTGGATAAGTACAGACGGTACTGTTCGTTTTCAAAACTGTCGAACTGGTCTAGAGCAGTAGCAATCACTCAGAAAGGTTAAGTTAATAAGAGGGTTAACTTACAGTTACTGGTGTATAATGACATCTGTCAGCACGCCACCACATGGGAAAGGAAGCAGTTACTCTGGCTGGGCAAAGTGGAGCATCCAGCCACACTCGCTTTCCTTGATTATGTGGACTGACTTTACAGTCAGCCTCTCTGGGCCCTGTGCTCTGGAATAACTACATAGTTACTACATAGTTACTAACTACATAGTTACTACATAGTTACAAACTACATAGTTACTACATAGTTACTAACTACATAGTTAGATTTTTTTAGTTTTGTAAAGCAAGAACTTTGCTTTTTATCAGCATTAAAATTTTGAACTCTTTTATTGTATTTCTTTTACCTCTACTATACAGACACTTAAAACTTGCATATTAAGTAAAAATCAGAGTTGGAGTTTGTTTTTTGGATAACTCTGCTTGCAAGTGCTGCCTTTGAACGATCTTGGTGTTATTGATACAAGTCAGCAAGGGGCATTAAAACTGGCCAAGGGCAGTCCAAATAGTTTACCAGTCACTGTCTGAGTAGTTCACCCACGTGCATAATTGCAAGACGACTCAGGTTCAGAGGACAACAGTAATCGGAATTATTTAACAAACAAGGAAAAACAAAGTCACTGAGGCCACAAATGGCTGTTTACCTCACTCGAAGCAGTGCCCAGTGTTTTTAAGTCTTAAACATAAAGACTCCCAAGAGGGCACCTTCCCACCATGAGTGCCTGGAACATGTGTTAGCCAGAATACAGGCTGGGATCCAGCTCATGAAGACGGCAAAAGACACAACAGGAGATGATTCTGCAGCTACTGAGATGCCCCAGCACAACACCAGACAAGCAGCACTCAAAACAGCGGCTGGAGCAACAGAATAACCTAGCTAACGGCCCCCCCCTCCTGCAATTCAGGGAGGCCTGGGGCTCCGGCCCCAGGTCTCCACCTTTCTCTTCCAGGCTGTAAAAGCAGCAAAACTGGAAACAGTTTCAGGCTTGGCTACCTGCAAAGTCTCCAAACTTTTCTCCTCTATGGTGGGCTGCTGGAAGCCTCTCTGCATGAGACTTGTGGAAGATAGGCATGGTGGGGACAGAGATGTGTGGAAGATAGGCATGGTGAGAACAGAGATGTTTGACTCCAGAATCTTTGAAGAGCCAAAAACACTGAAATCCTGAATGCTAAACCTAATTAAGGCTGCTTCTATAGTACTTTGTATTTCTCATCAGAATCTCCACCCCCACGGGTACTTTGTGTTTTGCCTGGGGCTATGTATCCTTACCAGCACCCCCTCCTTTCAGAGGGCACCACCCATCACAGTCTTTGGCTCCAGCCCCCTGTTAGATATTTAGGTTATATCCCTAAGTATGAATTACTTAATATTATCTGATATTATGTACACAGGAAATTTTTCCTCTTTGCCATTTCTGTGTTTTCCCCATTTTTATTTTTAATTGGTATGGGTAGGAGAAAGAAAGAGAGCTTTTTTTAAAAAAAATAATTTAAAAAATATTATAGTAGTTTATTTTTACATCATTTTGTGTGAAAGAGAGCTTTTCCTGAGTGAAATTTTCCATTATGAAGACAAGTCGCATGCAAGTGATAAAGTAAAAGGAAATGGGCTTTAGATTCACAAAGCCTGGTATTAATTCCTTGCTTTCCCACTTGCTAGATGTGTGATGTTGGGAACATTACCCATCACCACCAAAGAAATCTCCAGATAGGAAAGGATAAAAATACAGCTGACCTTGACCATCATACTGGATGGGCCTAATATGTGAGCATTTTTGGACAATGAATATATTAGGGGAAAGTTTTATGAGCTTTACAACCATTTGAAAAACTTTCAAAGTAAGCAACTGAGAAATACTAAAATTTAGGTGTGTCACAAATGCACAATATGTATTATGAATACATAATACATTGATAGACCATTGACAATTTGATCATTTACTGCCATAAAATACACACAAATCTGTTATGAAACATTGAAATTTATCAAAATGCATGCAGACACACACAGATTGTAGGTGATACCATTTGCAATGGAGAGAAAAGTAAACAAATGTGAGGATGAGGCATTCGTTCATAATTGCATAAAAGTAATCGACTGTGTTATTGCTCTAACTTCTAGTAGTTTTATGCTTGGACAGTTCAAAGCAGATATATTCAACTGCTCAAGCATCTGTGGTCTTACCTCCTGCATCATTCAAGGACCAACCATAGGTCCTTGAAGTGTGGTTTTGTGTTAGTAAAACTCTAGATAGAGCATTTTGCTCAATGCCTAGCATATGCTTATCATCATTATTAATGGCAAATATTTTATATAAAATATAAGTATATACATATTGTCTGTATTTGAAATATTATCTTAAGCTTGAAAATCACTTTTACTTGTATGACTTCTAGCTGACTTGAAGTACAATATATCAGACTAAAGAAGGGGATTTTTTCATATAAATCTTCATCAACTTTAGATACATGAACTTAGTTAGCATAGTTTCTTGTCCATTGAGGACTTTTTTTTTAATTATTATTTTATGTATTTTTTACATCATTCTTCATTTTTATACAATGCATGCTTTATTATCTCAGGTGTAGTGCCCATGAAATTCCCACCACCAATTCACCTGCGCACCACCTCTATAGTCCTCTGTGCATTTCCCACCCTGTGTTGATCCAGCTCCCCTCTCCCCCACAACCCCACAGAATGTCTCTGATTTGTAGTTGATGTTGAGTTTGATTTTTTTTTAAAGATTTATTTATTTATACAGGACTGGGGTACAGGCCAGAGATGCAGAGGGTGAGAGGATTCACCAGGGACAGAGTGGGGAGCAGAACAGGCAGATCTACAAAGTACACTGCTGAGGGGAGCAGCGGGTGGGTCGGGAGAGGTCTGTCAAGCCATGTGGTCTCCTCCAGGGCAGGCGGGAATCGAACTCATGCGGAAGTGGCTTAAGTCTCTTAGTGCAGTGCTTTAACCCACTGCGCCACCAGGGAGGGCCTGAGTTTGATTTTTACGTTGCTAGAACTACTTTTTTTTCCTGACCCTTTATTTGCCTTCTGTACTCTCCTCTAATAAGTGAAACCACCCTGTATTTTTATTTTTCTTTCTGGTTATCTCACTGAGCATGATCTCTCCCAGCTCCATCCATGTTTCTGTGAATGGCATGAGTTTCTTTTTTTTTTTTTTTGATTGCTGAGTAATAGTTCGTTGTGTATCTGTAGCATATTCATGATCCAGTCATCTGAATCATGGGCATTTGGGTTGTTTCCATAGCTTATCTATTGTAAACCATTGAGGACTTTAGATTAACAACTTCTACTACGGAATGTCCTAGTGGGACAAGAGACTTCTTTTCAGCCTTAAGGGTAATTGATAAATGGACACTTGAATGCATCAGTGGTCAATTCAAACAGAAAGACATTCACTTGGTACAGTAATCAAATTAGCTACATAATTAACTGAAGTTCCTAAAGGTGAAATGATCTCTGTATTTTAGGACAGCCCTCATGTTTGCTGCAAAGTGTGAGGCAACAAGTCTAATCAGGCTGCTTCTTGAGCAAGGTATTGATGTCTCTTCTGAAGATGTCTTTGGAAGCACCGCAGAAGAGCATGCTATTAGTAGTGGATTTATTGAGTAAGTGTTTACATTGAAATGAAAGTTTTCACTGACCCTGAGGTGTGAAGTAATGTAACTGCTGCTTCTTATGTAACAGGTGAGACTCTAGAGTTTGGGCAAGCCGTGGTGGATGACAGTGAGTTAGTCGCATCCTCAGCCAGAAAGCAAGTCGAGGTTAGCCTAGTTGGGGGTAGCAGTGGGCACAGGATTCTTTCTCTTAGCACTTTTATTCTATTTATTTATTTTTAAAGATTTTATTTATTTTATGTAGAGAAACTGGGGTGTAGGCAAGAAGTGCAGGGGTGGGGTGTGAGGATTCACTAGAGACAGAGTGGAGAACAGAACAGGAAGATGGACTGAAATACACTGCTGAGGGGAGAAGCGGGGAGACAGGAGAGGTCTACTGTGCCACACGGGTCAGCTCCCTGGCCGGGGATTGAACTCAGGCCATAGTGGTGACAGCACTGAGAAGGTTAAGCATGATTCTAACAAAGAGCTGCTGGCTCAGAGTTGGATTAGGTAGACAAGGAGTAGGGGTGAAGGACAGGATTGACATCGTAGATTTCTGTTCTTGGTATGATTAGCTACTATTAACCGGGGCAATGGTTTTATCTGATTAAATGAGGTGATGTATTTATAAATAAATTTAGCTATAGATTATATGATGACTGAGATACCTTGAATTACAAACCACTAAGAGTGAACAGGTAATAACCAACCCCAATTCATAACATTGGTTTCAAACTACCATATTTGATTGTTAAAATGTCAGTACACATACACACTCACACTCTCAAAAACACACACACACCCTGGGTTTTACTTGGGATTCCAAAATTACATCCACAATAAAGTTCAAGAGCAAATATTTCTATTGTTTCTTTATTTGTGGTAATTTTATTTTTTTGAAGGGGCAAAGTTATTACCTCAATAAATCTTCTAGCAACCTTGTGAAATAAGTCTAGTTCCCATTTTATAGCGAACCTTTGAGCTGAAGGAAAATGAATCAGGCACCAACAAATAGCTCTTGGTATAGAGCTAGGGTGTCCCCTGAATTCAGAACACTTTCTATAATGTCAACCCACCTATCCCATGCACACACCCTCTTCAATTCACAAGTGCTTGATATTTTTTCCCTTTAAATAGCATACTTAGTAAAAAGTTGATAGCATTTACACATTTGAAGTACTAGGAATATCATTTCTGGCATTATCTTAAATAATCTAAGAATTTTAATTATTTCTATGTCACTAGTAATATAGTAATATTATTGATCACTTTTTTCCCCCACATAGCTTTCCCCAACTAATTTCTCAATTTAAACAAGAGCAGAGACTTAACACTTCCTCTGAAAAGAACAACCCAGGTAAGACTGCAGATAATGAATAACTCTTGGTGTCCTGCCACAGATAGCAAGTAAGAATGATAATAAAAGGTCAATAAAAAAAAAGTGCAGTTGCATTTATTTTTTCTTCTTAAATCACTTACTAGGCTAAACTTCACACTTATTTAAAAAATTAGCTGTAAGTAACTTGAGATCTTAGACAGAATAGTATTTATGAAAAGAAAATCTTTTATTTATTCTCTAGACCCCTGAAAATTCCCTGGTGTGTGTGTGTGAATAAGAAAAATAATTTTAAAGTAGGTTTTGTATGCTTCTTCTTAATTACTTAATCAAATATCGTGTTATAAATGATCTTTTAATGTTTACAAATGGATTATATTCAAAAAATGAATATTAGTTGTATTTTGTTTCACTAAGAATGAACTACATTGTGTAACTGGAAACTCAACAATACCTTTCTGGTACTATAAACAAATAGTAAACAGCAAGAGCTATGAAACTTAGTCAATGTCCTCTAATACCTATTGTTTTTGACAATTCCAACTGATAGCGCAGATATTAGCAAAACAATGCTACTGAGAAGCAACCTTGGGTTATTTTACATATTAACATATTATTGTCATATTAACAAGGACTCATGATTATCCACTTCATTCCTCCTATGTGAAATCAGAATTATTGCCTTTACTAGACAAGATGTTGGAGAACAATGATGACTATGATTTTATTACAAGATGCTATATTACCTTTAGCCAGAGAATATAAAAAAGACTATTCGAGGAAGACAACCCTGAGCTTAACAAATTATAATGAAATTACACAAATGTTTTATAGTAACAGCAATGTGACTGTCCCCCCCACCCCCCAGGGGTGACTCCTAGGGCAGGATGACCTGGTAAGGAAGCATCCGCCTTGGTTGACCTTTAGCAAAGAGTTTCTCTAGGTTGGGTTGAGAGTTACGGGAGCCACCATGATGATGGAATAGAAAGGGTTTTGGCTTCAAGTTGTTTATCATAGAGATGTTCTTGGTCAGTCTCCATGTTATTTTTTTTTTTTAAGATTTATTTATTATATATATGCTTACAGAACTCGGGTACAGGCCAGAAGTGTTGGGGGGGGTGAGAGGATTCACAGAGACAGAGTGGGGAGCAGAACAGGCAGATTGAAAAAGTATATGAAACATACAATTCAATATTTAATAATAAAAATATTTCTTGTGTTAAAAAAATAAAAAAGGCCCTCCCTGGTGGCGCAGCAGTTTAAAGCACAGCACTAAGAATCAAAAGCCACTTCCGAAAGAGTTCGATCTCTGCCTGCCCCGGAGGTGACCACATGGCGCGGCAGACCTCTTCTGACCGGCCCGCTGCTCCCCTCAGCAGTGTACTTCATAGATCTGCCTGTTCTGCTCCTCACTCTGTCTCTAGTGAAGCCTCTCACTGTCCCTGAACCTCTGGCCTGTACCCCAGTTCTGTCTGTACAAATTAATAAATCTTAAAAATAAATAAAATAAAATAAAAAACCTGCTGAGGGGAGCAGCAGGCAGGTCAGGAGAGGTCTGCCACACCATGTGGGTCACCTCCCTGGCTGGGGATCAAACTCATGTTGCAGTGGTTACAGAGAGCTTCATAATGTGGTGCTTTAACCCGTTGTGCCACCAAGGAGAACCCTTTTATTATTATTATTATTCATCAATTGTCTATTTCACACAACTATCAAGTATCATTTAATACTAAACTTTATTCTAATGTTGCAGAACACATACAATGAAAAATCACAGTCTCTCTTTCAGAAGTCTGGTGTTTTCATTGTCATTTTTGTTATTATACTTTGCTCAAGGTTTACTATGTCTCAGAATCCACTAGGTGCTGGTAATGGTCACTGCTTGTTCTGTTTCTGGTGGTGATGCCATGGTGAGGATTTGGAATTCTAAAAAGGTGTGTAGGATTTCAGTGTAGCATAGAGAGAGAGTAGAATTTATCAGGCAAAGAGCCCGAGGACCATGACCGGCAGGAGGAATGCCGAACTCTCTTACGTGTTTGTCAGAGGAACATCGGTGCTGAGTCTGCTGTGTGAGTGACATTTGCAGGATGCATGTACCGTTCAGTTTTGTTGGTGAAAAATGTGATGTAGAACTGTTTGGGAATGAGGTGACTCCCTAGCTAATGTAAGCTCTGGAGGACTTGGCAGTACTGTAGAAAGGAGTAAAGCCCACTTGTGGACCTTGGGAAATTTACCAGTAAGAGTATTCTTAACTGTGTGTAACAGGTGACTCGGGAGAGGCTCATGTGCCAGGACCAGGATTGTTTCCATAGTTGAGTGATGTCATCGATTCTAGTTGTCTCTCTTGCAACTGTAAGACTAGCAGAGTTTCATTATGACTCCTTTCCTGGCTGGCTACCAGCATCCTAACCTGAATTCCAGGTTCTATTCTCAGATGACAACATCTACAGGCTGGAATGGCTGCTGTTATTCACTCGTTTCTTTTACATAGGAAGGAAAGTTAGAAGCTTGCAGTAGACTTCCATGACACCTTATTGGCTGGGTGATGTCATATGCATATTGCTAAGCTAGTCACTGGTGAAGCAAAGGTGATTACTGTCATTGGTGGGGGGAAAGGACACCCTCAACGAACTCCACACAGGTGTTGTGGACCCCACCCCACTCCAGACCAAAGCCATCAAAACACCTGGAACTACAAATCCCATCATCACCAAAGGAAGGATTGTTGGGACCTGAGGGAGACAGGTTTGGTATAAAACCAGAAATGTGGGCCTCAGGGGGCCTCTTTTGGTTTTTTGGCTCTCGGGCTCTTGGCTTTTGGCTCAACTTTTGGCTTTTTGCCTGCCATGGTCATTGGAATCCAGGTCATTGGAACTGGTAGGACACATTAACCAGTTTATCTTCCTCTTTCTCCCTGAGTTATTCATTTCTCTATTTCCTATTCATTTGTAAATTAGCACTTTATTACCCCCTTTTTTTAAAATTTTTTTTTAATTTTTTTTTAAAGATTTATTTATTTGTGCATACAGAACTGGGGTACAGGCCAGAGGCTCAGGGGCGGCGAG